AAGTGAAAGAATGATGAAAGCTGGGGTCACCACAGTGCTCAGAGCCACCCAGAGCTCAGGTCCTGTGAGCAGGGATCCCTGGTGCCTGGCAGGCAGTGCCACAGTACATGCAGTGACAGTCATTGGCCTGGCCCCACACCAGCCAAGGGTCCCACAGCCCCCTCAGTGCCTTTGACCCCCAGCAGAGTGTCCAGAGCAGGATGTACAGGCCATCCAGAGCATCAGTCCTGCAGTGCAGGTGTTTGCCCCAGGCACAGCATGGTCACAGCTACCAACACTGTTGGTATTGTCCCAGCTTCTGAGGGTTTCCCACCTGCCATCACCCCTGGGAGCCACCCACGTGTCCCTGCTGAGCTGATCCATCACCCCTGGGACCCACGTGTCCCTGCTGAGCTGGCAGGGGATGTTGTGGTGCTGGGGCTGTGCCTGACTGCTCGGTGTTCTCACCTCAGCATGTGGAGTGGCACAGAGCCAGCTCCATCACTGGGCTCAAGTCAAGTCCTCCTAAAAGAGTTCCCCAGTTTCAGTTTCCCTGGAGCAGTGTTTCTGTGAGCCCGTCCTCACTGCTGGTTTCAGGGCTGTGCCAGAGCCTGGGTGTCACAGGGGACCAGGGATGCTCAGCAGCTCAGGGTGATGATCTCCTGGGTGATGATCTCCTGGGTGAGGATCTGCTGGGTGATGCCCTGGAATGATCAGGTGGTGCCTGGGCTCCAAGCATGTTTTTTCCCAGCAGAACTGTCAGTGCCCACTGGGATGGATCCAGAGTGGGCCCAGGGCACTGATGATGCCTCACATCTTTCTCTGCCCTGGCTCCCCCCTAGGATGCTCAGTGCTATCTGCAAGTGTGTCCCTGTGCTCCTTCTTGGGAGGATGATGGGTACCAGGACAATGGGTACCAGGGAGTTCACTCCAGCCCTGAAAAAACTGTCAGAATCCATGGCACTGCTTGTATTTATAAGTTGCATTAAGTAGAAAATTTATGAATTGCAAATGTAGAAAATTGTTTTCCCTGTTAATTCTGAATTCAGAATGAATTCTGTAAATGCTGAAGTCAGAATTAAATAAAATGGCCCTCAGCTTCTCCCACTTTCCCACTCAGCAAGTGTGACTGGGAAGACATGCTGAGCTGTGTCCATGTTCCTGCCTTTTGGGACACTTTGGTTTTGGGAATAGCCAAGGAGACTCCCAAAAGCAGTTGCAAGGCCCCCATGAGGTGCTGCATCCCACCCAGGCCATATCAGTGCCACATCCAGCCCTGTGCTGGGCTGCCAGGGAACACCATGCAAGGCTTGGCAAACCCAGAGCATGCAGGAGGTGCTCTGCAATAATTCCCCTGTCCCTTGCTCCATCCTGGCCATGCGCCTTCCTGCAGCCATGCATTACTCAGCTGCTGGGCCAGGAAGTGAATCCCTGGTGGGATGGGCAGGAAATAGTTAAGCAGGTGGGGTGAAATGGCCCATGCTGGCCTGGCAGGTCCTAGACCCCAGAGTCACCCTCCGGTGTGGGCACTGTCACCAACTCCAGGAGAGACTGGGCAAGAGGAGCACCAGGCAGGGCTGAGGGCAAGGTGCCCCAGCCCAAATAAAATGCCTCCCCCTGGTCCTCTCTGCCTGCAGGACCTATCTAGTGTCCCGTGGGTCCTACATGGTGTCCTGTGGTTGATGTCCTCCCTCAGTTCCCATGCCAGTCCCACATGGCAAGGCCGAGCACATGTGCCATCCAAGGGCAGCAGCCAATAACCTGGTGCTGCCAGAAGCCTGGAGAAGCAGCCAGGTCCCCACAGGCCAGCATGGTACCCAGCAGCCAGGCAGAAATGCTGCAATGGTGCCTGCAAACCAACATCTCCAACACCACCGCTCTGTGACCTCAGTGATGCCCAAAAACCTGCCCTGCTCTCTCCCCACTCCAGACCATGGTCTGGAGCATCAGAGTGCTAATGAGTGCCAACATATCCCCCCTTGCAGCAACTGCCTGGGGATAAAGGCAGGGCCTGGGAATCAGCACCACTTCCATGAGCAATGCTCCTTCAGTGGAGGAGCTTGGGCTCTCCAGCCCAAGGATGAAGTGTCCATGCCATGCCTGGACCACTGGAGTGGCCCATTAGCCTTTCTCCCCTCCCTACACACCACCTCCAGCATCGTCAGGGACAAGGAAACACGAGTCCAAGCTAAACCCAGGGGACTGGTTTTGCTGGGAAGCCCCATTTAACACAGACACAGGATGGTTTGGGGTTTGTGGCTTGGGGCATTAGAGGACAACCACCCCCAGGATCCCTGGTTCCCTGATGGGACACGCTGCAGGACCTGCCCTGTGTCTGACTGCTCTGGTGCCACAGGCAGGGACAGTGTTTGCTCCTTGGCAGCAGCGGGTCGGGGAAACCTGCTGCCTGGCTGGGTTTCTGTTTGGGAGGGTATTTAAGGGTGTTCTCCAGGGTGTGCCAGCCCTGGCCTCCACCCTGCTTTCACAAGCGCCCTCTCCGAAAGGAGCTTGTTGTTCTCGGTCGTGGAGTGGAATGAGCACCATGAGGCTCCCCCGTGGAACCTCCGATGGGCAGAGCAGCCACAGGGCAAGCTGAGCTCTGAGAACCTGGGGGCAGCCACGTTCCTGTCTCATGCTCCATCCTGAGCCCAGTGGGATGCAGCAACCCAGCTGGACAGGGGGGGTTGGAATGCAGGAAACATCTCTTTGGCCAGGGCTTTGGGTGTTGTGTCCTGCAAGGGCTGTGGTGCTGCACTTTGTGGGACAAACTTGGTTGGAAACCAGGGACCAAACCTGGAGAGAAAGAACACGGATGAGATCCAAATGCAGGTGCTTGGTCTGGAGTTTTTGGTGCCAGTGACAGCCCCCCTCAATGTCCACAGGCCACCCTGCTCACCCCACAGGGCCCATCTCGGGCTCTGCCACACTGCATTGGTGCCACACCTCAGTTTTGGTCTCTCCCTGCATCACGGAGGTGACCACATTGATCTCAGGGCTTGGTGATCCCAAGTGCCATTTCTGGCCTTGGTCTTAGCTATGCAGGGACACGTCCCATGGCACTTGGGTACTGTCATGTCACCAAACCTTTCACTGGCTCTTTGGTGGAAAGACAAGCTGGGAGAAAGGATCTCTGCCCGCATCAGCTCAACATCAGCAACTGCTTGGGTGCTCCTAAGCAAAATGGCAAAAGTCAGGGAGTGTGCACACCCCAGGTGCCTAGACCTCTGAAATACCATCCACATCCCAGTGCCTGGCCTGCTAAAGTCTCCAGTGGGTGCCAAGCCAATAGATCCACGTCTCTTTGTCATCTGCTGGGATATCCTGGTTCCCATTGCACGGGGGTGGCAATGGAGTGAGCCGTGGCAAATCACTCCCCTCCTGCACCCTGCACAGACCCAAAGGCACAATCCATCCCCGGGGAAACTGGGGCTGGGGACTGGTTCATGGTGGGCAGCTGATGCTCTGGCACTTACCCAGAGAAGGGGCAGAGGGCTTGGATGAGTTTCTCATGAGGAAGAGGGTGAATTTAGCGATCACAGCCTCACCTGAGAACTGGCCCGAGGGTGCAGGTCCTGCTGGCAGCGATGGATCCCAGTGGGCTGTGGGTTCCGTCCTCCTCTCCCACAGCCGGTCCCGGCAGAGGGAGCTGTGACATCAGCCAAGCAATCGCTCTCCCTGCTGGGACAGCAGCCCCGGGCTTTGGAAAGGGACCAAAGAAAAAAGTGCTGGGGCTGGGGTAGTGCAGCCTTCTTGGAGAACTCACTGACTCAGCACATCCGATCGCTCACCCTGTACACTGAGCCAAGAGTTATTCGGAACTTGTAATTTCAAATATAAATGCATTGTTACATCTTAAAAAAAAAAAAAAAAGAGTCAGTTTACATCTAGATCTCAGACCCTCAGTGCAGTGATGGTGTTTAGGGGATGCCAGAGCATCTCTGTGTACAGGGGCTTGAGGCTGGGACCCCACATTCTCCTGGTGGGGATTCAGCCACTGGGGAAGCAGCAGGGCAGAGAAACACCAGAGCATTTCTAACTTGCAAAGAGTAATTTTCCTCCCCTACACCCACACACCCAGGGCAAGCACAGACAGGGAGCAGCACAGCTGCTTCACACCAAATAAATCCCCATCTTCCAACCAGCATAACCACGGCCTCTGCTGCTCCAAAGGGACTAAGTGTGGTCCAAATCCCAGCCTGGCCTAGGAGGAGCACACACAGGTCATTCCTTATCATTTAAATCCCTGAGATGAAGTGGATAAACAATGCCAGTAACGTGGGCAGCATTTTTCTGACCTGGCAGTCTGCATGACAGCCTGAACAGGCACTTTGTCAATACCCCATGTCACAGGCTGCTGACTCTCCCTCAATAGGATATGTCAGTGCCCATCCTGCTGCTGCACCCCAGAAACTCCTGCAAGCCAGGAGCCATTCATAGACCACACATAAAATGGCACAGTGGAGCTGGGAGTGCACTGGTCAGTGGGATGGGTCTGTGGAAACACCTGACATTGTGGCTCAGAGCTGTGCTTGGAGCACTGATGCATCAGGGAGGCTCAGAAGAGGCTCTGGGTTGCAGCCTGGTGCTGTGCTCAGTCCTGGGAAATTGCTGGATTTCAGAGACAAGTCCTTTCTACACAAACTGCTGACACAGCTCAGTGCCCTGGAGAGATGGGACAGAAACACTGCGTCTGTGAAACAACCATTTGACCACTGGAAGGCAGCTGCCAACATGTTTGCAGCATCTTCTTCATTCCTGATTTTGCCCTCAAGACAGCACAGACCAGACTCACAAATTTGTTGGGCACCAGCTGGCCAAAGTCACAGCTGGCACATCTCAGACTGAGACCATGGCCATCAGAACTCCCTTCCAGAAACACAGCATCAGACAGGATGATGCTTCTCACCAAGTGAGAGAGCAGAATTTCCAAACCCTCTGCTCCTCAAGCCCAAACCCCAAAACAACCACTTGCTCAGGGAAGAATAGCTCGTAATTATTTATTTTGTGTCCCTTTGAAAATATCACGTTATCTCCTTCCATTCATGGCTTGGTGTGGTCTCACAGCCTGTGACAGCAGCGTCCCAGCCATCTGTGCAGCTCACTCCTTCCTCCAGTGAGTGGGAGACCATGGTCCTTGAAGGTTGGCAGGTTAGAGCTGCCTGGTCCAGTCTCAGCTGTCATCCCTCCATGGCAGGAACTGCCCAGAAGCATTGCACAGACAGGGAGCAGTGAGGGAGCAGTCCCGTGGGACTGGTGGGGATGGCTGTAGCTTTCAGCTGCCCCAGAAAGGGAGTCTCTGGCTTGTGTTTTCTGGCAACTTAGAACTGGGTTTGTTTCCCAAGCATTAAAAAAAAAAGGAAGATGCTGCTGCTATCTGCAAAGGAAAATAGAAATATCTATCAGCACAGTGAGGATCCAAGAAGAAGTTGTACTGAAAGGCTGTAAAAGCAGCACACAGATATCTGAAGGCTGGGAAGCCCAAACAACACGGTGAATTGGGGTGTCAGTGCATGTGGCCTCTCTGACAGGTACACAGTCCTTAACCCTACCAACCAAACCCTGGAAACACCATAAAACAGCAACAACTCCAACCTAGATATGCAATCTCCAGAGGCCTGAGTAAGATCTGTAGCATTTGGGGAAGGATTCCCAAAGCCACCTGGCGCTGCCGTCAGCCTGCTCCCACCAGGAATTGCGGTTGATTTCCTAATGTCTTCAAAAGGTGAAGAGTCAAGACAAGCCTGAGTGTGGTTGAAAATCTCAGCTACATGGACTGAGAAGCATCAGACCACAAAGCAGTCTGCATTCAGATGGGTTATGAAACAAAACAAGGGCTTCACGTCCTGCCCAGTTACATTAAGGTTGTTGAGTAATGAACTAACGCTATTGCCACCTCTCCAAACTCTCATCCTTTCCACACGAGCAGGAATTTGCCTACACACAGAAGTGCTGAGGTTACCTGGACTCCTACTCTTCCAAAGAGGGTTGAAAACAGGACCTTACATTATCCTTATCTCCCCCTGCTGAAGGGTTTAACCCCTCAGACACCCCATCTCCTACTTACAGTTCCGTGTCTACAATGACATCTGGCTTCTCCAGTGTTTGTCGTCTCCTCTGGATGGCATCCACAATCTTTTTCCTGGGGCCCAAAGGGATGTTGATGCTCTTCAGGTCATTGTCTGAACACAGCATGAGGGCCTCCAAGTCAATCTTTTCCTTCTTCAGGATGGAGATGAATTCAAACATGTGCAGGGAAGCCAGGAAAGTTTCCAAGGGGCTTGTGTCTGGTTCGTCATCATCGTCCAAGCCCAGCTCCACCTCATCCCAGGGCAGCTCCTCCGCGTTCCTCTCCTGCAGGCTGTTGGCACTGCCAATGCTGTCGTTGAGACTTGGCGAGCGCTGCAGGCGGCTCCGCAGTCTGACGCCCGCGCCGTCGGCGCCGTCCTCGCCCAGCGCGGCCCCGTCCTCGCGGCCGATCCCGAAGAGCCCGCCGCTCACGTAGTTGCGCCGGAACACCATGGTGCCCAGCCCGGGCCGGTTGAACAAGGAGTCGTGCCCGGAGTCGGTGCTGACCTCCGAGTGGGCCGAGTCCATGTGCAGACCTGGGTCGCTTATGGCACGGGAGACGGTGTCTTCCTCCGTGAGGAACATGTCTCGGATATTGCGGCGAGTCCACTCCTTGGGGCTGGCGTAGGTGCCCTGCTTCACAAACATCACGTCGTTGCCCAGCTGCAGGCCAGACAGAGAGCGCACGCTTTTCCTGCCATCCTCGTAGATCTTGAATGTCCCGTCCACCTGCTTCTTCTTCTCTAGTTTCTTTTGTATTTTCGTCTTCCCCTTGGCTGTGCCATGGATGGTGGCTTGTGAGTATGGCAGGGAAGTCACCATAGACATGTGCTGGAACTTCTTGCTTAAGGTGCTGCTTGAATAGCTGGAAAAGCTCATGGTATCTGAATTATCTGACATCTCCTTTCTGTACCGTTTCTCCATCCTTTCGTGGTGCTTCTTCTGCAGCTTCACGCAGTCCTTAATCCTCCTCTCTGCATCCCGAAAGGCCTTGTCCTTCAGTTTGCTCACCAGCTTGGGGTTGAGGTTGCTCTGCTTGGCAGCAATCGAGTCCAGGTACCGTACACACTCCATGTGCCCCTTCATGGCTGCCATGTCCAGTGGGGTGTGGTAGTCATTGTCCAGGCACCAGATGTTGGCCCCAAAGGAGATGAGGAAGGAGAGGCAGTTCAGGTGGCCATTGGCTGCTGCCAGGTGGAGGGGGGTGTTCCCCCAGATGTCACATTTGTCTGGATCACCCCTAGGCAGCAAGAAAATCAACTGTTTAGCATGCAGGGATTGATGACAGGCTTCACTGAGATATTCCCAGCTATGCAGGGGCAAATCAGCACCATGAAGTGTTGACTCCTTGAAATACCAAGCTACGCACCTATGGTTCCTGCAACTTAATTTTAAAGGGTTCTTCTGGAAGGGTGTGCTACTGACATGGAATCACGTGCCCCACCTGCAAGGCTGTGGCAATGTGACTTGAATTTAGGTCTCAAGAAAAATGTGTTCTCACATCAAACCAACTTCTGGAGAAAGGCAGGTCAGGTTCTGAATAGCCCAGAGTGAGATACAGGTCTAATTCCATCTCAGACCTTGTTAATTTCAAATCTCAAATATCCCATTAAATTCTAGTCAGAGTCTGTCTTCAGAACTTGGCTTCATTCAGACTCTGTGGTGGGGCATGCCAAAATGCCTCTCTGTATGCCACATGCTGGGTTGGACACCTCGGGATCCCACCATGAGACGTCCATCCTCAGCAATGGTTCTGAAACCCCCCAGCTGCCATACCTTCCCACCCACCTGTTCCTTGGCACCTGGGGAAACCTGCGGCACAAAGAGGAATGTTGGCAGGAGAGGATAAGACTGATTTTGCTGTCATTAGCCTCGGCACTGGGGTGTTGTGGGGAATTTTGCTGTACCGTGCTTGGTCTCGATAGCACAGCTGGAAGCACACTGGTATTAGCACATCCAGAGAATCCAGTTTCAGAGAAAGTGCAGATTAGGTTTCTGCACTCCTCAGGAGCTGGACACTGCCAGTAGCATCTCCACGGGCACTGTGCCAGCCCCTGCCCCAGCAAGCTGCTGGTGGGACACAGCCACTCCTGCCTGCTATGCCAGGACAAACACAAACCTGGGATTCAAGGGAACTCTGTCCTCCTGACATTCCTCTGTATTTGTGCTCAGGTGAAACGAGAGAGAGTTCACACCCCTGCTGGCACCAGCCCTCTCCTGAGCTGTGTGCTAATGATATGCAGCCAGCAGCAGTATCTGTCAACAGGGCACTCTCCCTCCGAGCACATGGATATGCCAAAGGCTTTTATTAAGGCTGGGCAGCTCCACCACCCTCAAGAGCAATTCCTCGTGGGCAGCAGGGCTCTGGCAGAGCTGTGGCTCAGCACAGCTCCTGCCTGTTCCCACACCACCCTTTCAGTGAGTGCCAGAGGAACCCAGCACTGTTCCTCCCCCACACAGACCTCAGCTCCAATCCATGGTGACACCAGGCGTGCAGAAAGCAAATCACAGAATATAGAGAGTTGAAAGTGACCCATCAAGCATCATCAACTCCTTAATGCATGCTTGAGACCTTCAGCAAGGGTTACTTAACTCCTTGCTGCTTTAGGGTCTGCGTTGACAACAGCTGGGAGCAGCAGAACCCAGAACCCTCTCCCAGACCGTTGACAACAGCTGGGAGCAGCAGAACCCTCTCCCAGATCCCATGTGCTCTGAGCTGTGGCTTGCCTGACTTCAAAGAGTCATAAAACTTCTCCAGGGAAAGAGCAGGAGACCTCAGGAGCAGAGGGACTTCTTTGCCCTGATGCTTTGCACCTTCATCACTTCATGCTGATGCACAAACCCCAGAAACAGCCTCATCCAGCACATTCATCCCCACACGGGGCCCCAGTGCCTGCCTGGAGCACTGTCCAAGGGGCAGCAGAGACAGAGAGGAACTGCCCAGTCAGTGTAATGCTGAGTTTGCAATCTTCACACTTTAGAAAAGCAATAAAGCCTGTCCAGAGGTTAAGCTGGACATTATTTGTGCCCAGAGCATGAACTTCTTAACTTTGTTCCCTGAAAGCTGCTGAGGTGCACTCAGCTTTCTCTGTGGGAGCATGAACAGCAACTCCATCATAAACGTTTTCACTAAATTTACAGAAACATAATAAGTATAACCTTGAGCTCATTGGCAAATTCAGCAAGTGAATCAATAGGTTTGAAACTCTGTAAAGCCAAAAAAAACCCCACAAACCCTTCAGGACTTCTGAGCCAGAGCCTTTGACATCTCTTATAGAAGGAGAAAAATGTTTCAAAGACGGGTGATGAGGAGGGGGAAGGCAGGAGATCAGGGTTGAGGAGCCATGAAGCCAAGAAAAAGAGAAGGGATCTGATAGTACTCTGGCAATGCCGAGTTTCCAGGAGCAGTAATTCCCCAGCCCTCACTTCTACCCTCGTAGTGACATGTCCAGGCTGGGAAATGCATGGGGAGGATAAATATTTGATGAATTGCAAGAGAGGAGTAAATTATTCATGCTGGATTTAAAGAGCCAGTGAGCCTGTTCCACATGGAACTGCTGGTGCTGGTGCAGAGACTCCAGTGCAGGAAGGGCTGTTGGTTTGTTCTGTGTGCTCTGAAAGGGCACTTGTGTGCCTGGCATGGGTGGGCAGGTGAGCCAGGGCACCCCAAGGGGCCCAGTGTGTGTGTGGACTCATGATGTGGACAGTGACTGAGCAGTGAACTCCCTGGAAACAGTCTTGCTCCCAAAACCAAGTGTGTGGATGCTCAATCCACCTTTTGGAGCCTGTTCTCGGGTCTGTCTGGTTCAGGAGGCACAGGGCAAAGCCAGGGAGGTCTTGGGGGTTTCATATGTGAAAGTCTACTTTCCTCAGAAAGTGAGGGGGAAGAACATCAAAACCAACTTTCCCTGGTCATTTCCACTCTCTAGAAAAAAGAGGATTAGGGCAAAATTAGGTATCTCAGGCCCTCTGCCCTGTAAATGTCTGCCGCAGGCGCTAAAAATGCATCAGAAGGAAAGAAGAACGGTGACTTGCAAAGTAGAGATGTTTGATTCAGCTCAGATAATAAACATGAGGCCCTCCCTCTGGCAGCTGTCTGTCTGAGCAAAACTTCACCTGCAGGGTGCTGCACATGAGGAGATGCTGACTGCAGGGTCCACTAAGTGGGAACATATTTTAATAACAGGTGTAAAGTGCAGCACTTCTCAGCTTCAAAGCGTTTTTGAGCACTTAGTCAACTCCTGTAATAATGATTATTAAAACACTGTTAATTGGGCCCCTTAGGTGGACATGTGCATCTCTTGAGTCACTGTGTTTGCACCATGACATGCATGCTCACTCCCTTCCTGCTGGTTTTTCCCCTCTGCTTCTCCCATAGGATCCCAATTAGCCAGGGAATCCAGTGGCACTTACATATGTTCTTCCCTGGCTGCATGTGTGAAGTTCCTCTGATAGCAAAGGGCTGGCTCACCCTTGGCTCATGGGTGTGTGTGAGAAATTGGGATTGGGCCCTCAGACCAGGAGCCAACTGTGTGCAGAGTGTCTCTGCTCCCATAAAATGGTTTTGGATAGAGGAAGAGTGAAAAAATAATCTATGGCTTGAGGAACAATCCTCATTACCTTCAGCATAGTCAGTCAGGGCAATAAGCAAAGCCTAGAAAAGAGCAGAAAAGATGAGGTTTGGGGCTCAGAGCAGAGCTTTGGGTCCTGTACACCACGTTTTCCCCAGGTGGCGGCAGCCCAAGGATTCAATTCTCCTCCAGGTTCAAACCCCCCAAATCCAGCAGAGATGCTGTAGATGAGGGCATGCCAGGGCTCTTTCCCTCTTGTCCAGCAGAAAGCCAGGCTGGCAGCTCCTGTCCCGTGCTGTTGGTGCCAGGGCAGTGCCAGGGCCATGTCTCCTGGCTCAGCAGCCCAACGTGCCCAGGGCTCACCCTCGGTGCCAGCAGCCAGCTCAGGTGCCGGAAGCCACCAGGCTGCACCAGTGCCCCACCCTGCTCCTCCACCTTCCCGGCAGGTCATCCCGGGGAAGGTCCCCACCAACACGGCCAGGCTGCCCCGGCTGCCACGTGGCCTGCAGCCCTGTGGGTGCAGAGGGTGCACATCACCTCCACGTGCCTTTGCTGCAGCTCTGCCCCAGCTGGGGTCATGGGGTGCCCTCGAGCAGCCTGGCTGATGTCAGAAGCCACCCTCAGCCCCAAACCATGAGCCACGTGTCCCCTCTGCCACTGACATCCAAAGTATCTGTGCCCCCTGTTTTTGTAAGAAGGGAAAATGAGGACCAGCCTTGCAGGACCTGCAGACACATCTCACTTCCACTCCAAGGAAGTCCTGGCTGACCCCAGCCAAGGCCCCCAGACCTGGCCATAACTGGAGCTGGACTGGTGCCTGCCACTGCCACAGCAGCCTAACGAGCCACACTGAAGAATTAGTGTGTCTGAAAAGCTGCAATGCTAAATGCCAGCTTGCCTGCCTCTTCCCAGCCGTCATGTTAATTGAGTTTGTTTCCCTCACTGGAGCCCAGCCAGGAGGAAGAAAAAGGCTTTTTGTGTGGCAAACAAGAAGGATGAGCCAGTGCTGATCCCTCCATCCCAAACCCTCTCTCTGTCTGTTGCAAAGGGCACACAGAGGCACAGGCACATCCCCAGCTGGTAGGGGCAGCACTCTAAGCTTGTTTCTTTACCCCTTCCATGTCAGCTGGGGCAACAAGCTTCCCTCAAGGATCTGCCAAAGGATTTCTTTCCCCCTCCTTGTTCCAGCCTGACACCACAATCTGCTGAACACATGTGGATGAGGCTCCTTCACTGATGACAGGGCATGACCATCAGAGCCAAGATTTTGGCCCCCAGGAGCCCCCTCCCACAGCCCTGCTTTCTCAGGGCTCCTCTGGCCACCCTCACTAGGGCATTTCATGGCACTCAATGTCCCATCTTGTTTGGGCACTGGTGCCACTGCCCAGCCCTGGCAAGGAGATTTTGGTGTTTCTTGCTGTCCCAGGACTCCCCATCATCCTCTGTGCTTTGACATCCCTGTGCAACCCAGAAGGAGACTCACCAAGCCCCCCAGAGCCTGAAGATGCCTCCCACCCCATCCCTGCCTGGAGCCAGCCCAGCCCCAGAGCCTTCACTCCCCCAGTGCTGCTCCATGTCACAGTCCCCCACTCCCATCTCGTAGAGCAGGGCTCTCTGAATCAAAGGAGGAATATTTTGGCAGCAGAGGCCAGAGAGCAATTCTCTGACATTTTGGGATGCTCAGGGGTCCTCCCTCCTGCCTCACACTGGTTATAGTGCAGGTGTAGTAGTAACATACATAACACAGCATTAATTTCATCTCTGAACAAAGCTCAAATACTGTGGCACATCATCTTGGGCACTGGCAGAAAATTACAGGGTCTGCCCTCAGGCTCTCCTGGGTCTTGCACAATTCCACCTCTCTGCCACCCTTGTCCCCGGGCTGGGGCTTTCCTGCCTTTGGCAGACCCAAAGCCAGCTCCAAGGAGCAGGGCTGCCTCCATGCCAAGCACTTTGCTGGTCTCTCTGTGGCTCTGGGCAAGGATGTGACACGTGGAGATGAATGCACAAATGCAAACACATCCTGCAGTCCCACGGCCACACACCTTGCTCCACCATCCATCATGTAAAGGGCACTGGGCTTTTGCCAGGCTATTTTCCTTGTCAGGAACAAATGTATATTAGGTTGTTAATTAAACAGCAGCCAAGCTGCACTCGAACACGATTTGAGCCCACAAGGACCTTTTAATGCCATGTGAGTTTATAGAAGCAGCCCTTGGGCTTTGTGGAGAGGCAGAAGCTGCTGGCTTGTGGGGGGTTGGCAGGGTTGGTTGGTGCTGCAGTGTGCCCTGTGATGGAGATGAGCAATGAGGAGATACAGTGATATAAAGAGATTATAAAGTAGAGGCTTTGCCTTTCTGGAGGGGCATTCATCCACTGCTTGGGCCTTCCAGGTTGGCTTTCTGGCCATCAGAGTCTTTGAAACCATTTTTAACTTCAGGCTCCCCCCTGAGCATTCCTCCCATGTCTCTCTGGCCCTGGCTAGCAATTCCTGTCCTGACAGGAGCTCTGGGCAGGTTTTTGCTGGGCACAGTCTCTCCTGGAGTACACAGGGAGTCACAGAGCCCCACCCAGGGAAGCATCACGGGCTCCCAGCCCAGGACCCTCTCAGGATGCTCCACTCAGAGCACTGTCTTGCTCTCTCCCTTCCAGACTCAGCAATAATCTTTTCCTGAACACACTCCTCCTGCATCAAAGCCACTCTGTACACAGCCCTCAGTTCAGGATCTGAAAGGAAATTATTTAAAATGAAAGGGCAACAGTGGATGGAGGAGCTGTGCCTGTGAGCTCAGCTGAGGGACTGGCTGAATGTTTTGCACAAGCAAACCAGACTATCAGGACATGGCAAGAGCCCAGGAGCAGGTGCAGTGGAGATGTGGCTGGTCAGGCAAAAGAGCTGCTAACACAGCCCAGGGTGGACAAAAATCCCTGCATGGGAGCTGACAGGCCCACCAAGCCCAGCATGGAGAAGTAAAGCCCTTCCAAGGAGGTGTGATGTCCATCCAGGCTGCTGACCTCAGTACCACAGTACTGGAAATACATAAAATCAGCACCACCAATCTCTCAACACAAGGCAGAAGCCACTCCAGCTTGGATGGCTTTAAAAGAGGGGCTCAGGAGAGCTACTGGAGCAGAAGGGAGCACTGGGCTGTGTCTTTGGGGGGTTAGTCAGAACTGTGGAGTCACAGACTGCTCCAGAGAGAGCCAGGAATGGCAGGTCTTGCTTTAGCACAGACTTTGTTTGATTCCCCCAACACCAAGGTGTAAATCGTCCAGTCTAAGTCCCCTTAATCCCACTCCCACCTCTCCACCACATCCACATTTAGGAAGCAAGAAACTTAAGATTTGGCAGCCCAGGGTGAGGTACAGAGAGACAGAGCAGTGTGGAGCAGGCCCTGTGGGGGACACTGGGCTTAAAGAAATCTGCTCTTGGAAAACCTGAATTTCCCAGGCTCCAAGTGTACAACAAGCTGCCCAGGGAGATACTGAGACCTTGCTTTGGGTAAAACAGACCAGTGCCATGCACTGCCAGCTGGCACTGCACACATGGCTCTGCGAGCATTCTTGAGACAGAGGGAGCAGTTATTTTCTCTACCTCCTCACTTTAAAAAATGGCTTTTTTTCATATCAAACACAATGTGTTTATCTTTACAGGACCTGTAAAATATTACAAAGCACTTGGAAAGGGGAGCTCATCCCTGCCCAGGGCGCTGCAAGCAGGCTGGGGACGGGAGCACTTATAGGATCAGAGGAGCTGGGAAAACACAGAGCAGTTACCAGGAGGGCTGGATTAGATTCACAGCACCACAAGGAAAATTCAACAGCGGGGAGGACAGGAGTAGGTAGGACAGTCTTGCAGAGAGAAGCCATAATTTTGTGGGGCACCTGCGAGCAGAGGAGGGGGAGGAAGGGGGTCCCAGCTGCCCCGCAGGGAGCACCGTGCCTGGCCAGCACTCACCCTCTGCTCACGATGAGGCGCAGGGCATCCAGGTTGCCGTGGTAGGCGGCCCACAGGGTCGGGGTCATGCCATCCTCGTCCGGCGAGTTCAGGTCCTTCTTGGTGGCCTCCTTCAGCAGGTCCAGGTAGCCGTCCCGGGCGGCTCGGTGGTACTGGTCATTCATGGTGCCGAGGGGTCCCCGGGCCAGCGCATGGGTGCCCAGGGCGTGCAGAGCATGGGCACGGCCGTGGGGCAGCCGCCAGCAGGGCCCCGCTGGGCTCGCACAGCTCCGGGACACCTGAGAAGAGCCGAGGCGATGCCAGCGCGGCCAGCCAGGCTCCACAGCGCTTCCCCTGGCTCCCGAGCATCCTCCGGCTCCCCGGGACGCGCACCAGCTCCACGGCGCGTTAAAAGCTCCAATGAAGCGGCATCGCTGTGTTGGGCTCGGCACGGGGCCACACAGCAGTAATTCAGCAGGTTTACGTGTCCTGCCAGGCTGCCGGGTTGTGTCTGCCCAATAATCCCCTGTTCCACAGCTATTCCATCCCAAGGGGCAGCAGTGGCCAGACGGGGAGGAGGGGGTCAGCACAAGCCCCCACGGCCTCCACTCACAGCCCTGTCAGAGCAGGACCTGGGTGGATAACCCTGCTCTCTGTGGAGCTGGCTAAGAGCAGTTTGGAGACTGATGGGCTCGGCACGGGGCCACACAGCAGTAATTCAGCAGGTTTACGTGTCCTGCCAGGCTGCCGGGTTGTGTCTGCCCAATAATCCCCTGTTCCACAGCTATTCCATCCCAAGGGGCAGCAGTAGCCAGACGGGGAGGAGGGGGTCAGCACAAGCCCCCACTCACAGCCCTGTCAGAGCGGGTGGATTATCCTCCTCTGTGTGGAGTTGGTTAAGAGCAGTTTGGAGACTGACTTCAAAGTAATACCAGGGGTGTTCACAGCTCAGCTTTTCCTCACTAAAAAAATCCCCCAAACATTTATTTATTTATATCTCTCCCTAGTGTCACTAGGAAGACAGCAGCAGACCCAGACACCATCCCTATCCCACATCCACCCTGCCTATACCCACAGAATTCTGCTTTCCAAGGAACCGCACAACAAACTGTGCAACGGGAATCTGATAAACCAAGGAAACTCATAAGGGCTGGAAACATTCCCTTTCTCACCTCTTTTCCCTTTCTGGAGCATAAAAAACCCCAAACCCTGTGTGTAACTCGGCACTTCCTGCGATCTGCAGTGCCTGCAGTGCCTGCCTCTGGTGTCTTTTATGCTGACACAGAATTCCCGGCTGTGTGAGACCTTCGGGGAGCTGCTCAACCCCAGGCAATTCCCCAGCACAGCGTTCCCGGTTCCCGGGCACCCTCTGCTGTCGGAAAGGTGGAGCCAAGCCTGGATGTTGACCGAAGCACGAAGCTGTCCCTGCACATTACACCCAAGGGTGAATCGGTGGATTGTACCCCCTGGGACATGCTGACATGGAGGAGAATTTCCTGCTGCTCTCTCGTTCATTTTAGCTGTAATGTCCTGACTCTGGGAATGCAGATCTCCAGGGCGGGACTCTGTGTGTGTCACCATGGCCCTGGGACAGGCACAGGGCTTGGAGAGGGGGAACAGAGCCATCAGATGGGTGAGAAATGGGAGGAGAGTGGAAAACTGGGGAAAGACTGTAAGACAGCATCAGGGGGGCTTGGAGGCAATGAGCAGAGAGGAAGTAAATGAGAAAGGCAGCTTATTTTTGTAAGGAAAAAAAAAATGCCCCAAGAGAGGAGGGTGGCCCTGAAGCAGTGCCAGGTGCACCCACGCAAGCTGCGGTGATTAATCCCTGGGTGGCTGACACAGAGTCAGCATCCCGGCTGCCCGGGGACACCTGGAAGTGCATCAGAGGCAGAGTCTGCTCCCTGCGGGGTTTGCTCACCTCAGCAGGTTCATTCGCACCGGCTCAGCCTCCCTGGGCCAGTCCGGATGGCATGCAGTAGCCACTGAGGTGTTTGTTGCTGGGATCCTTGCAGCGCAGTGACCTGCAATTCATCACCGACGGTATTTCATGATTCGGGTATTGTTACTAATTGAATTTGTTGCGCCGTACGGTGGCTGCCAGGGGGACTGGGAGCATTGCCCGAGGCAGTGAACACTCTTTTTCCTCTGTTGCTGGCTGGGAAGGACAAAAGAGATTCGGTAAACCAGCGCGTTTAGCCCGAGGGGCCTCTGAACCTCTGCCCTCTGCAAAACATGATTATCAGCTCGGATTTACTTCTGGGCTTCCCCTGGGAAAGGCTGAGGACTGAGAAGAGATCAAGCACTGCCCCCAGAAGGAATCGGCGTGGCTCGGCAGAGGCCAGGCAGGGCAGAGCTGCTGCAGCTCGGCAGGGACACACCGAGGATGCTCAGGGGTCCTCCCTCACACTGGTTATTGTGCAGCTGTAGTAGTAACATATATAACATACATAACACAGCACTCAGTTTCGGACACACCGGGCTCTCCCTGAGCTCTCCTTCCCCATCCCACACATTTCAGTTTGCTGTCCTGCAGCGCAGCAAGAAGGACACAAGCGGGCAGGAATGGGACTGAGAAAACACACAGCAAATGGCCCCAGATCTGTGCTTGCCCTGAAGGGGGAAAGCAGCAGAGTCATCTCCAACAGAGGCATTCCAAGGACTAAAACTTGTCCCCATCCACCCAGAACTGCCGTGGGACTCTGTAGCTTCCCCACAAAACATAGCTGGGTGAAAGAGACCTTGAGCAGAAACTGTTCCCTTACCAGACAAACGTTTAAATCATACCTGCCCTGTGGTTTGTGACATGGTTACTGCTTGGAAGGAGAGGAGTTAAGGTCCTGAGGTCCAGAGAAAGGTGATCCCACCCTGAAAAGTCAAAGGCAGTGCGTCAGCAAAGGAGAACACAAATTCCAGTCCCTAAATCCTGCCCTTCTCTAGTGCTAAATCTTCCTGGTTGATGACAGCATGGGTGGGAAAGGATTGAGTTACCACGGCACTGAGCAGGTACAAATGCAAATTTCTTCCTTTTCCTCAAGAACCTTCGAGGCATGGAGTGGGCTGGTTTGAATAGCACAGGGTGGGGCACAGTGTTTGTTCTGCTCCAGTAAGCGGAAAGCCAACCACAAAATCATCACCTAACCATCTCCTCTCAAGGGAAGAGACCTCATGCATGTAGGGAGATGGGTTTGGTGGGGTGGCCTTGCTCTGTGGTGGCCATAACCCTGTGACCGAGCAGTCCATGCCATGCTCAGAGGTGTTGTCAACTCAGGCTCCTGCTAGGTAAATAACCCTTATCTTCTCATCTCTTTCCAGCTTCCCCAAAATCAGCTATTGCACAAAATGGATCACATGAGTTTCTCTGAGAAGCCCACAAAGCCCTGCTGTCAGCTCCAGATATGGTATAAATTACAGAGACGTCCCAACACGTATAAATTCTTCAACTGACCAAGCTGCAGCAACAACAGGGAAACTTCTCAGCCTGGCAGGAGCAGAGATTTGGATCCCAGGCAGCAAAACAGGTTGGTGGAATGGCTTTGTTTGGATGGTAAATTCACTTTATTTCGGGCTTTTCACTGAGAATGAATGAAATGCCAAAGTTGGCACAGGCAAGGGGCTTTAGAGCGTGTGACAGCTCAGGTAGTTCACACCCTTCCTGCAGGAACTGCTACAAATTATGATGTGATAGTCCAAAGATTCTGGGGGATTTCTCACCTTTTGGTGGCCTGTTCTTCAGCAAGGAAGTATAACAATATCTCAGAATATTTAGTGTTTGACATTTAGAATTTAAACCATACTGGATGTTTGCCCTGTGATATTTGATCCTTGATTTGTGAGTGTTTGTTGGTGCTTTTCCAAATCTTGCATCAATAAACATGTAAATGTTGTGTGTTTAATAAACACACTTCATTAAAATGACCTGGGATCTTCCTGAGCAAGAGCATCTTAAGTAAAAAAAGCTGTCAGGGAACCAGGAAAGGAAAGCTTGAAAATGAGCTCACCCTTCTTCTTGCACTCGCTGTTCCTGCGATACATCCTGTGCTCCTCATCACGTGTGCTGCTTTGGGCTGTTACAAATGCACCTCTCACTCATGGGCCTCTCCTCCTAGCAGTGCTGAGCCTCAGGCAGAGCCTTGGCTGAACCATGACCGAGGAGCCCGGGCGGAAGGACAGCGAGCTGGGACACGCGCCCTGCAGCATGGGCTGCGGACACAAGGACGACAAAGCCAGCCTGGCCTCCAGCCAGACAGCATCTTTCGGCCACCAGCCCCCCTCCACTCCTGCCTCCAAGGAAGTGTGGAAGAAGGGTGGCCGCATGTTCTCCATCCTGCTGGCCGTGCACTTGGCCCTGCTGGCCTGCACGCTGGTGAGCAGCGGGGCTTTCGAGAAGATCGCCGTGCACGACTACGACGTCTTCTTCCTGCTGACAGTCATGATGCTGGTTGTCATCATCTGGATCATCTTCTACCTCGCTGGCACCTCCCGGTGCCCGGGTGCCATCCTGGGCAAGGACTCCCACGCCGGGCCCATCTGGCTGAGAGGTAGGTGCTGGGGCTGGAGGGGAGATGCAGCATGGACAGTCCATGGGAGCATCAGTTGTTACAAGGGAAGCAGCAAAGATCTGGGCACAGCCTCTTCCTGCTGGTGGACTGGGGCATGGCACCATGCCCTGCTTCAGGTCAGCTCCTGGTTTCTGCCCTGGATTCACTGCCAGGTCTCCCTGAATCCACACCAGGATCTCTCCTGCTGCTTTTGCAAGAGCTGTTAGCCCCAGCATACCTGATTGAAAATCACTTCCAGCCAAAATTATTGTATGAATTTGTCGCTGCCAAGATAATTTGGGTGCTGTGAGAGGCAAAACAGCAGTAGAAGCAAAACCTCTTCATGGCAACATTTTCTCTTCTTCCTCTCCATCTGCATTAGCCCATGTGTGCACACATCTGTCCAACCACAGATATTTTTGTTCCCCAACAGGAGGCCTGATCCTATTTGCCATTTTCAGCCTTGTCATGGATGTGTTCAAAATAGGATATTACTCGAGCTTCTACAGCTGCCTGTCTGCAATCAAAATCATCTACCCCATTGTGCAGGCAATATTTGTGGTTGTCCAGGTGAGATGGTTGTGCTCTGTCTTGGGGAGCAGTACAGAGACACAGGCACCAGTGGAAGGAGCTCTGATCTCTTGGATTTAGTTCAAATGCAAGGGCTTTACTCATCCCTCACCCAGCCCACATCTTCTCCCTCCAACCACAACAGCTTCTATCTCTGGAAACTCAACTCACTCTAAGGCAGTGATTTAAACTTGTTACCACCCCATTGTGACATTTTTGTCACAAACTCTGAACAGCCCCCAGCCAGCCAGGCCTCCTTTCCCATGAAGAACAGAGAAGAAGGACAATCAAGGCAGGGGCTACCTTGCAGTTTGAGGGCCCACACAGAGGATGCTTTGCTCTGGGACAATGCCAAGAAGGGAAGAGATCAGAGAGGGACAATTTGGACAGAAAAGGATTGGCCATGGGCAAAGCAATGGCAGTGGGAGCAAAGAAAGAACTTCCAGCAGAGGGCCAGCATCATGAACTAGGCTGAGCCCAGATGGACCCAAGCAAAAGAGGCTCCAGCTTGCTCTCTGCTCTGCAGGGAGATCCCTCCTTCAGAGGGATGTCCTTTGCTTTCTTGTTTTGCTGGGAATAACAACTCCTTTTCTTTTCTTTTCTCTGCAGACATATTTCCTGTGGGTCTCTGCCAAAGACTGCATCCACGTGCACCTGAACGTTACCAGGTGAGCACTGCTGCTCCTTGAATCCCACTGGCCCAGCAGACCTGGGCCCCCACAAGCATTCTGTACCCTCACACAGCTGAGATGTAACCAGGGGATAATCCCTTAATGCTGTCCAAAACAAAACCTGCTCAATCTCCAGCTAAACTTAGATCTCAGCTCAAGCAGCTGTGGTTAATGACCTGTAGATCTATCAGGGTTGGGATTCAATTAAAGAACACAAGCATTACTCAAAGCAGATAGTATTAAATAAATAATTATCATTAAATAATGATTCATAGTTGACTTTTTCTCCCCTAAGGAAGATAACTATGCAGTGGGCAAGCCTTAGGCTAAAATAACATCTTGTCCACTTTTGCAAGATTGGATCTACTGGAGACCAGTTCAGATCTTTTAATTTATTCACTACTGAGAAGCTCTTTCAAAAGCAACAATGGGAACCAAGCCTTGCTAATTCTTACAAGCATGGACAAAAAATAGGAAGAGAGTGAGGGCAGCAAAGAAAGGATCAAGATTTCTAGCCTGGGCCACTGGAGTCCTCACACCACTTCAGGCAGGTGCCACAGTCCCTCTGGGCACACCTAAATCATGCATGAGAGAAACATGGCCTAGAGCCACTGCTTCAGTGTCACAAACCTTCTCCTCCTCCTCCTGCAGATGTGGCTTGATGCTAACGCTGACTACAAACCTGGCCGTGTGGATGTCAGCAGTGACAGATGAGTCTGTCCACAAGGCACATTCAAAGCTGAAGAAAAACATGACAGAGGAAATCTTCAGGTGGCTCCTGAAAGGTAATCTGCCTCTTTGTGAAGTCATCTGGTCCAGGGAGAGATCCCATCAGGTAGAAATTGTTCCCCAGCAAGTGAGATTTCATCCCTTTTCAGAAGGTCTGTTTAGAGCTGGAGGTACCTTTGTCAGGGCTGGTTTGTTAAAAGCCAAGTATGGATGTTCATTTCCTAACCTCTGTCAGAGAGGAGTCAGAGAGGTGGAAGACTCTGTACAAATGGGACGGGATTGAAGAAGGGAAGGAAAAAGAAAGGTTTAATCTGACAGCTAACATTTTAAAAAAGAACCTGGGCACAAGAAAGCTGAGGGTGAAGTGTCCTTGTTTTCAAAGTGGTCACATATTCTTTTGTTCTTTGTTTTGATTTTCACTGACCCCAAACATCCAGTTCTTCAGGGAGAAGTGTTGCTCCTTGTTTTAATACCATGGCACCTGTCTGGTTTTGTCTTGTTTCAGTGGGAATGAGAAGCAGCTCAGTTGAAGAATGCAATTGCAACAGCCAAATCTGCCAGATCTTCAAAAATGGCTACTTTTGGCTGTACCCCTTTAACATTGAGTACAGTCTCTTTGCCTCTGCCATGGTCTATGTCATGTGGAAGAACGTTGGACGCTTCATAGACCACCACTCCCACCACATTCAGCGCCTGAAGTTCAGGCTCTTCCGAAGGACCTTCTTTGTAGGCATCATGTTGGGCCTCATCATCCTTGTGAGTGGTTTGGGAGTCCTCATCCTGTACGAGGTGCAGGTAAATTCCAACACTGAATCCAGCAAGAAGAGCCAAGCACTCACCATGTACTATATCTTCAACATTGTTTGTCTGAGCCTGATGTCTCTTGTCTGCATCGGTGGCTCCGTCATCTACCGGTTTGACAAGAGGGACATGGACCGGCACAAGAACCCCACCAGGACCCTGGACGTGGCCCTGCTCATGGGGGCAGCCTTGGGGCAGTATGCCATTTCCTACTACTCCATTGTGGCCATCGTGGCCAGCACGCCGAGAGACACCATCAGCGCGCTCAACCTCACCTACGCGCTCCTGATGATCGCCCAGCACACCTTCCAGAACGTCTTCATCATCGAGGGCCTCCACCGGCAGCCCCCCAAGGAGGACTACAAGCACGAGTCTCACCAGAAGGACCTCTACGGGCTCACCTTTGTCAACATCAACGCAGTGTCCCTGCGGGTGCCCGACACTGGTGGCACCATGGCCGCCGGCGCGGCAGCTGGCGCGGAAGCCATGCGTGCTTCTGACCTGGTGAGGTCCCTCGCTGCCCCCAAGAAGATGAACTGGAGGAGGAAGTTCTTGAGGGAGATCTCCATGTTCCTGCTGCTGAGCAATATCATAGTGAGTACATGCAGGGAGAAGAGTTTGTGGGGAAGGAGAGGGCTACAAGCACAAGGGAGAAGGGTCGGTGAAGGAAAGGGTATGGCCTATGGAAAAACAGTCCTTTCTGTGCCTCTGCTGTACAGAAAGTACATTAGTTATATTTATAAATGCAGAATTCTGATTCCCTTGTCACCTAAAAAAAAAAGTGACTGCCCTGAAGTTAAGACATTACAGGCTATATCAACAGACCTGTCACTTATCACCAGAATATCAGACACAAGAGGTGGATGCAAGAGAATAATCAGTTTCAGTGTTTTTATTGTGTATTAGTGGATGCGTGGGGTAAGTTATGTTAATAAATTACGTTAAACCATTCCCTTCACCCCCCAGAGAAGGGATGTAAAGTGACAAATATCTGGGGTGAAGTCTGGGTTTTCTTGAGACATGGCAGCACTTCTCTTCTCAAAACCCACAGCCTAGGAGGTTGCTCCTTTCCTGGGAAGCTGTGACTGCAGGCCCTGATGTACCACACACCTTTCTCACTGCCGTGCTGTTCTCCCATTTCCTCCCACAGCTCTGGATCATGCCGGCGTTTGGTGCCCGGCCCCAGTTTGACAATGACACAGAACTGAACTTCTATGGTGATTCCATGTGGCCGGCCATCGTGGACATTTGCCTGCCCTTTGGGATCTTCTACCGAATGCACGCTGTGGCCAGCTTGCTGGAGGTCTACATCGTGTCCTAAAGAGCCCCCCTGCAAGGAAGATGAGATCCTCCTCAAGCAATCCACCTTCTTCCTACCCCAGGGCTGGGAAGCTGCCCAGATGTCCCCAGGGGTCTCCAGCACTGCCTGACTCATGTCCCCTTGCAGTGTTGGGGCATTTATGAACTGTCAGTGAAGATCATCCAAACATAGTCCAGATTTTATTTTTGCTACTTGTGTGTGGATGTGCCTGTGTGTGTCTGAAGTTCTTAAAGCTTAAAAGAGAACAGATAAAAGAAAAGGAAGTTATCTAGGGTGGGAACATGGTGATTGCCCTTGGTTCACACAGAGACTCACCTTCCTTGTAAAGCCTGTTCACTCCATGCCACGGATGGACTCTCCAGAGTGTTCTCAGCACCCTCGGGCAGTCAGAACCTCCCTGCACACAGAGAGCTGGAGAGTGCAAGGGGCTGACAAAGGCCTGGAAGGACAGAAAGGGAAACCACTTCACCTCCTCGTATGGCCAGTCGGAAATCACTCCCCTGCAGAGATGTGAAAAACAAACTGGTGACCACCAAAGGCTTTGAGAAACATTTTAATCTTTCCTCTCTGTATTGCCCATATTTATGGGCCCTCTCAACACCTCCCTGTGCCAGCCCATGCCTTCCTCTCCAGGAAGCTTCACTGCAGCCTCCTCTTCCCAAGGAGTGTGTGGTCCTGGGCTAGCCCTGATATGGGATCGCTCTAGCACACTTTTTGCTCAGCTTTCCTGAATCAGGGCTCAAGAATCATAAAGATGATGTGGGCAATACAGGCTGGGGGATAATAAAGAGGTTTTTCTTTTTTCTTTTTTCTTTTTTTTCTTTTTTAAATATATTTTTTTAAAAAATATGTGAACACTTTTGTATGCAAAGTTATTTATTGATTTTCACTGTAACTGAACTCCTGAAGGGACCCTATGACACAAAAATCAATGCAATGTTGTGGCCAATTTGATCTCCAGCACCCTGAAGGGATGCTGGTGCTGCATCCTCAAGTCTGTGCACGCTTTGAGGCTTAGAGCACAGCCCTTGGCCCTGACTCAGGTTTCTAGGTGCCTGCAGTCTCCTGCATCACTGAATGATTGAGGGGGCTTTCAGAGCAGGAGTCCTGGGCTGCAGGAGTAGAACAGGCCCCTCTGCTGTACCCAGCATCCAAGCAGACCCTCAGAAAGTCCCCTCTGCCAGGACAGGAGGGTGCATGTCAAACTGGCACAGCTGAGTTCTGTTTGCATCCTGAGAAATCAGGGTTTAACCATTCTAATAAAGGCTTTATTGTTCCATCAGAGTTTATCGTTGCAATAAAAAACACTGCAGAGGTGGCAGAAACCATCAAGCCTTTTCCTATGGACATTTGTGCATCAGTCAAAGAAAAAATAATAAACGGAAATCATGGGACTTGAAATGGAGTGGTGCAATTTTCCACCCTACAGCCCAGGCTGACGTGTTTCAGCCACCTTCCCCTCCAAGTCCAGATCACCAAACCAGCAATGACCAGTGCCTCTGGCTGGTCTGACACAAGCCTTTCTCTGAACTGGGTAGAACATGGGGGAAACCCAATTTCCCCTGCCCTCAGGGGGCTGCACTGATCCAGGATCTCCACTTGGGTCAATCCTTTCCCTCACCAGCCTGGGGTCTCCCCAAGCCCAACTGACCCTGCAAAGGCCTGGTTCTATTTTTACCGTTGATCTGGTAAAGATAAAATCTTCCCCTAGAAACCTCACCTTTCCTAAAACAAAAGCCTCATTATTTTGTGGCTCCTGCAGCTGAAATTAAGTCAGAAAAGAGACGCAAACAGTGCAGACGTCACCCCTACTTAGAGCTCCACACATTGTTTGGGCCCAAGATGCTGAGCACACACAGGGGCAGAAAACATTTTTAATCACCCCATCTGTTCCCAGGGGCACACAAGGTTTCCTCCTACGTGCTCTTGCTGGTTCCTGCCCCCTGGTTCCCAGGAAGGGGTGCACTGGGTGAAGCAGGGACACTTTGAACTGCTCTTCTCTTCTGGACAGCTGTTGTAGGGGCACTTCTGGAGCCAAACAGATTCAGGATGGATGTCAGGAGAACCCCCCAACAACTCAAGCAGCTCTGATACAGGCAATAATCCCAAATCAACTTTTCCAGGGTGGTGGGTCAGCTGGAACTACAACATCCAGCCATTTAATCCTGTTGGGATAAACCAAAACCCTCTGGTGATGGTAAAGCTCCACAAAGATGCCTGGCTAACCTGAGGTATCTCCAGGCTGCAAACACAGGGATGACAGGGGCTTCCAAACAAGGGCTGAATTCTTCTTCTGCCCTCCAGCCACAAACACATAAACTTGGGAAAAGCAGTAGATAGGGAAAGAGTTAGTGAACCCCACTATATACAAAAAAAGGGGTATATCAATATAGGGGGTTATATATATAGCCAGAGGGAAAGTGAGCACAAATGCAAAAAAGGGAAAAAATAAGAAGCCTAAAAATCCAAACCCTAAGAAAACTCTGTTGTAAACCCTCTTGTGTGCTCAAGGATAGTCAAAGGGATCAGCTCCTAGTCAGTTACTGTGCAAAGGGGTGTGCTCCAAGGCTGATGGAGAATCATCCACATGTTCTGGGCGACTCCTTGGCACATTCAGTCTCCCAGGTGTGTCACCCAAAACCAGGCACAGCCCTGGAGCAGGCACTGCCACATCCTAAGTGCCACTGCAAATGAAGAGCTACAGGAAAGCAATGGGCTGCCCTGGGGCACACTAGGTCCTCCCAGGGGCTTCCAGATTCGCCCACTTTGGTATAAAATCCACTTTGGCCTCCCAGGGATTTGAGCAGCTGCTGTGCCGCAGAGGTTTGGTGGAACCCCGAACCCCACAAATCAAAATCACTCCCCAGGGGCTGGCAGGGTTAAAAGCTCAGCACTGCTTGAGCTCGGGAGCTCTAGTGCCAAGACCTGAGACACTGTGTGAGAGTCAAAAAGGTCTCAATTCAGACCCTGACCTGAGGAACATGGTGCCAGAGCCAGCAAGGGCGAGCAGCAAGAGAGGGAAGAGAGAAAGAGCAGGAGATCAGAAATCATTGCTCAGAAAAGAGCAGAGAAGGCCATAGCCAGGGTCAGGCCTGAGACATCATCCCACTCACACCTGGGTTATGCATCCCCTCCTCAGCTCCTTAATCATCTGTTATTTGAGGGTGAGATTTGTTTTATTAGGGAGAAAAAACCAAAACAAAACACCATTTATCTGGGTGGTTTGCTCTGAGGTGTGTCCGAGACGGGAGGAATCCAAGTTAATTATTATCTGTCAGGGTAGTAGATGGAAAGTGGATGGACTGAGAAGGTCACAAGGCTGGAGATGAGGGATGGGATTGCAGCACAAGGTGCCTGTGAGCAGGATCAGCTCCAGCAGCGTGCTGAGAGCCAAGTCAGGAGGTGGTGGCAGAGGAGGCATTTCCCTGTGGTCCTTGGCAGTGAGGAGGAACTCAGTGCTGGCAGGAGGTCAAAAGGACCTGTATCAAGAGCCAGCAGGGAAGACAGAGACACACTCACAAGTGGAGCCAGGCCATACCCCCTGAAGCCGTTGGAGGGCATGGAGGGACAGAGCTGGGCAGTGCAGCACAGCCCACCTCACCCACGCTGGATGAAGCTGCTCTTTGCAGTCACCCCAGAAGTCTCTCACTCCCAGCCCCAAGGAGACGTCACTGCCGTGGTTATCAGGGCCAAAGGAAGGGCGTGGGCCAGCCGGGGAGATGTGAAGGAGCCTGGCGTTCCTCAGGTGGCCTTTGGGCAAACACAGCGGCTGGGCACGGAGCTCCTTCCTCCAGGCCCTGTTTACAGACCTGCAGGGCCTGGCCTGGCTGTTATCACTGCTGAGTGCACAGATAGCACCGTTAATAAGCACACTGCTGATAGCAGGGGGCAAACATCGCTCCTAACGTTTACCAGCCTTCTCCCAAGCTGTGAGGAAAGGCAGCTTCTCCGGGGCACTGATCCTGTGATCGATCCAGTGAGCTGGACTCACCTTCTCCTTTCCTGCACGCTTGCTTACTTAATGGTTTAGTTAAACTTGTGTCAATACATTCCAGTAAAACAGCTGCTCTTCTTCAAATTAAGGACCAAATAAGGAGGATTAACCCATTTCCCAGGGCTTTAAAACTCCTCTGGGTTGAATTTCAGCTCCAAAGCCAAGATAGGGCGAGTCAGGCTAGGAAGGATGCCTCATCTTTGCAACATGGACGCCCAGTCAGATTGACAAAACTACTGAAGCACAGCAGGCACCAGCATGTTATTATAGACCCATCTTTGAAGGAAAAACCTCCAATTTCAGCCAAACTTTAGGATACATTCAGACTCACGGCCTCCATTTCCTACTTCTGTATGGCTACCTCAGTCATGGATCATGGCACTGAAAAAGAGCAGATTTGTAAATGACTTGCACAGAAATAGTTGGCTTTGGCCAACAGAGGCCATCAAATGGCTCTTGTGATATCCCAGTTTCCTGGTGATCTCTGGAACAGAGTCTGGAAAAGAGCCAGGCCCCTGAAAGAGCTCAATTGCACTCAGGGGATCTAAAAACATAAAAGCAAGGATGTCCAAGTAGGCTGTCCAGACAGGCTGGAGATGCTGATGCTTTGGGGAAGGCAGAACAAATCCAGCCATGAGTATTCATGAACACCTGCCCAGACTGGAGCACCTGGGCTCCACCACAGCAGTGCAAGGGCTTGGTCAGACATCAAACATGACCTTTTGCAGGCAGACATCAAACAATGGCTGCACCAGCACACACCGGGTGTTCTCACCCCACAGAAATGGGGCCCTTTCAGCCTCGTTTTCCACCCCTTTCGTCACATCCCCACACATGATAACCTGTGCTCCCCCAACCACTCCTACCCCTAATCAGCTTCTTGGGAATTATTTCATGGCTCTGAACTCCCAGCTCATGTGTTTGCCTGCTGCAAGGACCTCAGGGCTTGGGGATTCATCCTGGGACACGCAAATAAGTCTCTCCTTCCAAGGAGAGGTCCATTCTCTCCTGATGGACCTTCTAAACTCACCAACTCAGAAATGCTGAATCCCTCCTGCCAGCACAAAACCTGGGGCATCAGCTCACCACAGAGTCCCAAGTGAGAATCAGTTTGTCCTGCAAAAGCAGAGGGATAAAGCACTGCTTGGACCTAAAGCATCCCTGACCACACTTGGCCAAGACTGTGGGGTTGGCACATGTGGGTCTCACTCTGAAATCAGCGTTAGTATGTTGTAGTTATCTCCCTCAAAAGCAGCACCTTTCTGCCAAAAAAGCATCAAACTGGTGTCATTCCTGCACCAGTGCAGGGGTGGACTGCAAGCTTTACCTTTTGAGTAAGATGTATGCCTTGGATAAAAGCAAAAAGAAATAATACATGTGAAAAAAAAAATCCTAGGATCTACCTAAAAACAAGGGAGTGGGGAACTCAAGTGGATTTTGGCCAAGGCAGTGTGGGTAAGCACTCCCAACACAAGCCTGTGCCAGGAGATTAGCTCTACACCTGCCTGAGCCATGGCACAAATTAGTCACCACCGTTTGTGGTTTTACCAGTTGGCAGATCCTGCGCCGAGCCTGTTGGTGTGAGGCAACCCAGCAGGTGCATAAAGGAGCTGTGCCCCATTGGCTGCCTGTGGCAGATCTGAGAGCTTCCCACTGAGCAATTAATGAAATGACAATAACAGACACAAAGTAAACAAGGCGGAAAGAAAATAAATCAATGGGCTGGGAGCAGAGGCTGCATTCAGTGAGGAGCAGCCCTGACGGCTCCTGTCTGCACCTTGGGCTGCTGGAGTGTCCCGTGCATCCTGGTGGCGTTCCAGCCGCGGCTTTGGGATCGGCTGCACTTTGGGATCGGCTCCTCGGGCAGCAGAGGCTGCAGGCAGGTAAGGGCTGCGTCTGGCTGCTCCCACAGCACAGCCACGGGGTCACGGGCTTGGCTCCCTCGGTGTGCAGTCCTGTCTGGGCACTTGGGTACCTCCTGGTGCAGCCTGGATGGGATTCCTGGTGGTTTTACAGCCTTTAAGCTCCCTTTGGAGCATAAGAGTTATGGCCTTAGAAGACAGGAGGGAGTTTGCACCTCTGCTACCAAGTCAGGAGAATTTTGGAGAAAAATGAGGAAGATTTTAGGGTCAATCCCCACCAATAGATGTGCCAATGAACTCAGGGCTTGGGGGTTCATCCTGGGACACACAAATTAATCTTCTCCTTCCATGGAGAGGTTCATCCTCTCCTAATGGACCCTCTAAACTCACCAACTTAGAGAGAAGTGCTGAATCCCTGCTGCCAGCCACAAAACCCAGGGGACCAGCTCACCTCAGAGTCCCAGGGGCAAGGGCAGCTAGAGCACCTCTGTGCACATGCAAAAGAAAAGGGAAACACTAAATTTCAATCCCTCCTCAAACAATTTCTCCCTAAGACTACCCTTCACAGAATGTTGAAGGTTCCCCCCTCTCTCAAACACATCTCAGGGAGCTTTTTTTCCACTCCAGCCACCCTTCACTGAATGACTGCTGGAACCTGGGCTAACTCTTAGAACTCCAGTGCCACACCAGGAGTGGGGAACTGCCTGGGGATGGGGATTTACCAGGGGCAGAACCTTCAGAGCCACTTCTCTGTGGTGCCAGACACAAGCCACGACAGGGAGAGAGGAAAGGAGGAGGCTCTCCATCTCCAGTTCCACAAGGAACGATTTGTTCCAGGAGAAGGGAGCAGGACACAAAGCCCCTTGCTCTGTCCTGCAAGGGGTTTTGTTCAGATACAAGTTGGGGTGGATACAAACAGCAAACTAACAGGGAATCCTCAGGGAGGAGTGAGGGGATCCCATCCAGGGCCAGTGGGCAGGAGGGTGGAGAGGATGGGCCACATGGGCCAATGGGGCCTCCAGGAGCAGGGAATTCCAAAGGGGTGTCGCAGACAGGGATTGGCCTGAGGTTTAAGTGGCATGGAAGGTTCGGGAATAAGGGCTGGGCTGCCTTGAGAGGCAGGGAAAGAGCTGGAACAAGGGGCGGGGAGCACCATGAGGGACAGCTTTGAGGGAGGGTAAAGCCGGGGTGAACCAACTGGGGAGAAAGGGGGGTACAGCAGAACGAAACACTCAACAAGGAATCAATAAAAGAGATTCGAACCGCAACGCTTCGCTACAACCCTGGAATGAAAGCATCTTTCCATGTAGCAAATCTCTAGAGAGGCCGATGTTGCCTGATTGCTTTGTGTCAGCGAGGTTGCCCTCCCAAGAGCAGTACAGTCCTGCCAGGGTTTCACCAGGAGCTCCCAGACCCTGCCTGTCTCCCCGGGCCAATCCCTCCGGCTCCTCACGGCCTAGTGCTACACGAGGAAAAGGAAAGAAAAGCAGGTACTAATTGTTCCCAGTTTCAGCCCACCTGGGTGGGACTTTGGATCTTCCCCCAGCAGCTTATTCCAAGCTTTACAGACCCTTTGTTTATCCCCTCCGACTCTTCCACAATTTGTGTGACCATTCAAGAGCCTGTAACCCTCAGAGCCCAAAAACAAAAGGAAGAGGTTGGATCCACCAGCTGAAAATCAAACATGAATTTCAGAGCAGGTCTAAGCTTGCTCTTCATTTCCACCTAATCCTTATGGTAACCAAGGGTAAGGAGAAAACCTGAAGCCAGGGCTGGAGAAGCTGTGAAAGGTGAGGGTGGGAAGGGTTTGAGCACCTCTGGTTCCAGCAGCTCCTGGTGCTGGTGGGGCAGGTAGAGATATCAGACAGGCACTTTAATCTATGTCTCTGGACAGGTTTTGGTAGAAGGGCTTTTCTCCAGTGCCCTGCAATGACTCTGTCCACTGGGAAATTTGTAATGCCTAACCTGGGCTAAAAACCAATCTTCTTTTCCCCTTCATCCAGCTTCTGGAGAAGGAAGGAAAAGCTGCAAAGCAAGGAAGGGAGGTCACCACACAGTGAAGTGGCATTCACAGCAGAGCATACAACCTCCCCTCTCAGCACATCCCCCCTTTAAACCTCCCCTCTTTTCAATGCAGCAAGTGATCCCCAGGCAGATGAGCCATGTCTGACAAGAAAGTCTCCAAGCCCTGCCATCACTGCAAGAGCAGGTCAGCCTCAGTCCCATCAGACACCTCCAAGATCCACTATGAGGAGTTCTGGCTGTACCGCCACTGCTCGTCGTTGCACCAGCGGGACCAGCAAGCTCAGAAGGCTGGGCGGCTCTTCTCAGGGCTGCTGGCCGTGAACGTGGTGTTCCTGGGCAGTGCCTTCATCAGCAGCATGATCTTCAACAAGGTGGCCATCACCCTGGCAGATGTCTGGATCCTGCTCTCCATCCTCAAGGTCTTGTGCCTGTTCTGGATCATTTACTACCTGAGGGGCACCAGCCGGCAGCCGCACGCGGTGCTCTACCGGGACTCCCACGCCGGAGCCATCTGGGTTAGGGGTAAGTTCTGCCTTTGTTTCTTCTCTCTTGCTTTCTTCCAAAGACTTGGAAGGCAAAGAAATTCTTCCCCTGTTACTAGAAGAGCCAGAAAGATATGCAGTTAGGGCATTGGGAACCTCCCAGTTCCTGCCAGGCGTAAGGGAACCAGAGCAGCCAGGACAGCCTGAAACTCAGCTTCCCTTAGCCTCCAGTCAAGCTTCACTCTGTGGTCCCTTCACAAAGAGAAATCCAGGCATAACCCCTTTCCAGGACAGCAACTGAGCACCGTGGGAAAACCACAGGAAAGGTTTTAGGCAGGAGCACTTTGAAAAGTGAGAGGAGAATCACTGTGTTTATCCTCCAAGAGCAGCAGTGGCCCTATGTCAGCATCATCCTCATTTAACATTGCTGCAGCCTTGTTGCCACGGAAGGATTCTTACCCATTGAGTCACATCTCAGTGACACCCAGGCTTTCCTGGGAGATTTTCCCTTCAGTATTTGCCCCACTTTGAGAAATTACCCTTCTCACAGCAGCCCTGCCTCTGGTCTGTCATGGAGTTTTTAATTAGGCACTGCCTTGTTAACTAAGCATAGAGAATCAATTGAAGGAAGCTGCAAGGTACTTGAGTACCTAAAGCTGCAGAGACATGTCCAAGGCAAAAAGGAGAAAGAATCAAAGGGTCCCAACTCCTGCAGATGGGGCTGCTACAAGCCTTAGCAGACCTGTGGTCATGTCAGCTTTCCTCCACAAGGCAGAAGGCATGACCCACCATTAACTTACCCCTGTCATTCCAGATTGTACAGAAAAGCCCAAAAACCCCATCCCCACATTGCACCCATCACAAGAAGATACCTTGCATTTTCCTAACACCTTTAACCAGTCAAAGCACAGAATTAGTTCCAGAAATAAATCTTCTTCTTCTAAAAAAGATAATAAGAATAAGAATAAAGAAGATAATTAGAATACTAATAAGGCTTCTCGTCCTCTTCTCCTAAAATCATGAGAATTCCAGGAGAAAGACTGCCAGCTCCACACAAATCTAAGAAGCACAAGGCCTCCTATCCCCAGACAAGCTCAGATGCTCCACAGACATATCTGGTTTTATTTACTGGTCCTTTGCTCTTTGTGCAGGGTCAGTGCTGCTGTTTGGCAGTTGCAGCATCCTCCTGAATGTGTTTCAGATTGGCTACAGCACAATCCTCGTCGAGTGCAAATCCAAGGTGGAAGTTGTGTTCCCCATCATTGGAATCATTTTTATTTTCACCCAGGTACTGCACACTACCCTTCTGTAAGTTTGTTCATTCTCTCTGTCCCATTCCTGGGAGCCCCAGGGCTGGGGGGAAGCTGGGAGAAGTGGGAGAGTGAATGAATATGGGATATTCTCCTGAGCACTGAAAGCATCAAAGCATCACACGCCACTCCAAATGCTACCTGCACTGTGTGCCACATAGAGACAGGGGAGAAAGATTCAAAAATTACCCTAGAGATACCTGACATACCATAGGATCCAGAGGAATTTGCTTTGAAGCAAAGTAAGGAGAGAAGAGAGGAAATTTCACATTTTGCCAGAGATGTCTTTGCACCAGTCTGTGCCTCAGCCTCTCTTTGTATTTGCCAGTGCATCCGCCCAACAAAATCCTTTGCACACAAAGATATCTCACACCATTTTCACCTCGTTATTCAACACCAGCCTTCTTCTTTACAGACCCAAAGCCATGTTTGAAAAGTAAACTCATTCCCACCTCAGCAGCAAATACCCACATGAAGGGGGCAGAGGAACACCGAGCTCCAGGATGTGCATTCAGTGCAGTCACACATAAATGCTGCCCTTACCCAAGGGTGCCAGCACCTGCCTCACCACTGGGGTGCAGGTGCACACATGTCCCTGCACCCTCACACAGAGGCAGGTTTGCTCCTGCTTGGACCTGTACCTTCTTGTCTACCTGTTCCTTTCCACCATGCATGCAGCCAGCTGCCAACTTCACCCTGCTCACGGTGTTACTGTTCTCCACTTGCAGGCTTACTTTCTGTGGTATCACTGTAAGGACTGCGTTCAAGTCCAGCACAACTTTACCAGGTAAGAAACAAGGACAAAAAATGCCTTATACTGCACTAAACAAACTTTTCCTTTCTGCCTGTGTTGTCCATTGTGATTTCCTTTCTGCCTGTGATGCCCTGCTAGAAATGTGTTCCTCTGATCCTACACAGACCCTGTATTTTGGGTGACACGAGAACCAAACTGTGCATTGTTCAGACCAATCCTCCCTCCACTGAACTGAGCTCACCATCTCCCTTCAGTTTTCCTTTGTGCCTTGGAATGCTGCAAAGCTTCTTCTTTCCTCCCAAACATGGTCCTGCTGCCTGTCTCAGGGACCAGCTCACAGACTGGAGGATGGGGGTGGGGGTCCCCCCATTCCTGTTACTGGGAGATGTCTCAGCTTAGGCCAGTTTCACCAGGCACTGCCTGCCCTGCTCCTGTGTAAATGGGAATATGCTCAGGTGTGTTTATGCAAAGCCACACCCCGTGGGCCTCAGGCAGACCAGGCACAAACACCCCGTGTGCGCTCAAATCTGTGCACGGGCCAGCGAGGGGGGAAGGCCACACTGGCTGTGAACCATCTCCAAACATTGTACAAGTCCTTTGTCTCCTCCCAGGTGTGGGCTGATGGTCACCATAGCCACCAACTTTCTTCTCTGGCTCCTGGCCGTGACCAACGACACGCTGCACGTGGAGATCGAGTCTCAGCTGCGCGAGGTGGAGCAGCGATTCTCAGGCAAGGCTCCTTCCACATCCCCACTGCTGCTGGGCTGACACAGGTGACTTCTAGGACAGCATTTCACAGAACCACAGCATCGCAGAGTATACTGAGTTGAAAGGGACCCACAAGGATCAGCAAGTCCAGTTCATGGCCCTGTATGAGACTGTCCCCAAGTAGTCCACCATGTGCCCCAGAGTATTGTCCAAATGCATCCTGATCTCTGTCAGGCTTGGTGCTGGTGCACTTCTCTGGGAGCCTCTGGGTCTCAGTGATTCAGGTATCTCCAGTTCTCCCAAATGCCACAACTTCCCTATTATTGGAGGTTGTCTTGAGGAAATGGGCTGCAAGGGGAGAAGATCTTCACCTGGAGGGAGGGGATCTGCTATGAAACCCTGAAACTAAGGGCTAGGAAAGGAAAAGCCCACCATAAATTAGCATTTTTGCTCACTTTTTCCTGTTAACTGAAAGCACAAGATTGCCAGACTAGAAGAGGCTTATGTAATTGCTGTGGTCTTCTTTCTGAGGATATGGAGGAAGAAAGGGGAATCTGATATTCCAGGGGGATAAATAGAGAAAGCTTTGTTGTGAAGGAAGGGGAGTCTCTCATCCAGCACCTATGGTGTTGACCAGGGGTAGGAAAAGACATTAGCTAAGCTGTGTTATTCTGAATCCTCATATCCTTTAGGACTGACCAGTAGCCATATAACTTCCTTGTGATCCCTGTTTCTGAGGCACAGACGCACGTGTTGTGCCTGCACCCGAGAAACTCCCAAAGACAGCTGTGACATCCAGGTCATCTCCCTCTTAATTGTTACCTTCCTCTTCTCATGCTCCAGGCAACAAGACTGCCTTGTGCACGTGCCCAAACACGACCATCTGCGAAATCTTCCAGAAGGGCTACATCCTGCTCTACCCCTTCAACACCGAGTACTGCCTGGTCTGCTGCTCCGTGCTCTACGTCATGTGGAAGAATGTGGGGAGACGCATCAGCCACGACCACATCCCAGACATCAAGCCCAAATTCAAGCTCCAGGGCGTGGTCTTTGGGCCAGTGCTGGGCACCAGTGCCATAATCATTGGGGCTTGTATCTTCATGATGTACCAGATCCAGGTCACCAGCTTGGCCCCCAGCCACCAGGTCTTAGTGATCTATTATTCCTACTACATTGTGCTCCTGCCCCTGATGAGTGTGGGTGCCGTGATTGGGACAATCATCCACGCCTTGGAAAAGAAGGAGCTGGACACGCTGAAGAACCCAACCCGCAGCCTGGACGTGGTGCTGCTGATGGGGGCAGCCCTTGGCCAAATTGGCATATCCTACTTCTCCATTGTGGCCCTGGTGGCCACCAACCCCGGCGACCAGCTCAACAGCCTCGCCCTGTCCTACTCTGTCTTCCTCATCTTTCAGAACATCACCCAGAATGTTTTTATCATCGACGGTCTCCACCGGCGGCACATTGCAGCAGCAGCTGAGGACAAACATGCCGGACGCTCCGGGCACTACACGGTGGCTGCAGAGCTGCCTGGGGAAGAGGAGGCCACGCTGAGCAGCAAACAGGAGCACAGCCAGACACCTCCTAGCAAGGAGGAAGACATTAAAGAAGAGCAGAGTCGTGAAGCCGACAGCCAAAGACGAATGAGTGTGCTGGAGCTGGGACAGGAGATCCGGAAAGCTTCCCTGTCCTACATTCACACCTACTCTCACCTGAGCTGGAAGAGAAGAGTATTGAGGGAGATCTCGTTCTTCCTAGCTTTGTGCAACATCATAGTAAGTATTGTGCTCTCTGCTCTGTCACCACTCCAGCTGAGCCACAGTGACCTGTGACACAGACTTGATCTCTTTGTCTTTCTCCTGTATTCCAAACAGAAAACCTTTACCCACCAAGTCTCAACCTACTGGTGAGGCAAGTCAAAACCGGTTTTGCTGATAATACCCCACCCTCATAATTAGAAAGTCTCTCTTTTTACCCTTAGAGGCAAGTATTACTGTGTTTCATGGGTGCAGGGAGGAGACAGCTAATAAATCCTTACTGGCCAAGATTTTAGCCTCTGGAAAAAAAACCCACTAGGCTCATTAAGGCTGTTTCATGAGAAATGTGAAAGAAAATGTCAGGCACTAGCATTAAGTCTCTGTAAACATGAGTCTCCAGGCTTGAAACTCACCCAATAAAGTACACTGTGGTCTGGGATCTTGAATCAACACTACAGCCTTAATCCAGTGAAAACCCATTGCCCAGGGAAACAATGAAACCCTGCAGAAAGAGAAGCAGGCTGGGGCAGAATGGGGCTGTCTTTAGGTTTCCGGGGATTCAACAGGATTTGAATTACAGCAAGGAGTCAACAGTATAACTATGGTATTTTCCTTCTCCTCCCTGGCAAGGAGACTACTGTGGTACTCCTGAAATATTCCTACAGCTCTTGAGCCAGTGCTGAGATTGGGGTGCAAGTAGGGGACAGTTTGTCATCCTCTGACTTGTGTTTCTTTCCCTCACATCTCTGCAGCTGTGGGTCATGCCCACCTTTGGGACTCACCCCACCTTCAAGAATGGAATGGAAAGGACATTTTATGGCTACTCCACCTGGTTTGTGATCGTGAACTTCGGACTGCCCTTGTGCGTGTTCTACCGCATGCACTCCATCGGGGGGCTCCTGGAGGTCTATGTGACAGCCTGAGCCAGGCTGGACCCCCACCCCAGGGGCTGGGCACGATCAGTGATGCTGAACAAAGATGTAGTAAGCAGTAGACATGCATATGAAAGCTTCTAAGACTTTTTCCCTCCAGCTTCTGCTTGGACTTGTTGTACATCATCACCATGAATTTCAGAAGCAGTTCTTTAATATTAATATTATCCTTTTCCACCATAGAGAATAGACTCAAAGCCCATAAACAAACTCTCACTGCTCTCAGGAATCACACATGCAGTCAGCAGTCTGCCAGTGGATGCTGTTTGGCAGCAAACAGGAGTTCAACAACTCCTATTGAGATCTTCCAGATAAAAGAATGCAAGGGCAGCCTTCAGCAAAAGCATTGAAGGCTGGCCTGCACCAATTCAGAAAATCAAAAGCAATGAAAAAATAAAAGCTATAACATGACCTTGCCTTACTGAGAATAAACACTACTTCTTCCTTCAGGCACTCCCAGAACCTCAGGTGGGAATCACTAGGGAAGCACTGTGGGTGATCTTTACACCCACAGATGATGTTGTCACTGGTGTGGACTAGCCCAGGTCCCATCCTTGCACACAGGGCTAGCTCAGGAGCAAGCCACTGCCACATCCACTGTGAATCTTTGCCCACCCCAACACGCTGGCCTTTGCTGCTGCCTTGCACATCCACAAACCTTTCTCGAGGTGCCCATGCACAAAGGAAGGTGGCTGCTGTGAGGTGCCTGATCAAAGACCCATTAGGATGTGTTCCACAGGGATGCTTGCTTTGAAAGCATGTGGGAGAGCAAGGGGCTTGTGACTGTGGGTCCCAAATCCAGAGCCTGATGAACTGAAATAAAGAGATTGGATTCTCATGCATGTCTTGTGAAATTTCTGGGTCTGCTCCGCACTCGGTGGGCTCAAGGTCAGCTCAGTTAAATTGCTCTTACATTCAGAGGCTGTATGGGCCTCTGAGCAACCTGGCCTAGAGGAAGGAATTCCTGCTCATGGCAGATGAGCTTTATGGTCCCTTCCAACCCAAACCATTCTGGGATTCTACGAGAACTGAGAGCAGGCCGGCTTTATAATCAATAAAAATCTGTCATGACCCTTACCCAAGCATGGCACAAATTGCATTCTCATTATTGCTTCTGTTCCTTTGAAAATGAATCCCAGGATCAGTGTGGGTTTAGGATTAGAGCCTATTTATGGGGGTTTTTTTGGGATTCCCTAGTAAAGCAAACTCTCCCAAGACAGTAACAGTGAGGATTCAGCATTCAGGCAGTGATAGCACCTTTCTGTAAAACTCTAAGTGAGACTGATTGCAGGAGCATGAACTTTGCCCAATAAGTGTTTGTATTTGGGCCCATGTCAACAGAAATATGTCATGAGAAATAACAGCTGGATAAATTAGGTTCCAATAAAGTTAATTATTATTCTCATGTCAGTGTTTGTACCATGGGATCCACAGGACATACGTGCTAAGGTCTGACCTCAAACCTTCTTGGTAGTGATTGACAGCCTGGGTGCAAGGAGAGATGGCACTTGGTGGGCAAACCATGACGTGGATTTTATCCAGTTTAATGGATAAAACACTGGTTTAAGTCACTGAGCTTTCACAGAGCAGGTGACTTTGGAATGAACAGTGAATACATGACTGAAGACATGATCAGCATGGACAGGAATGAAGCCCACCAGCTCCAACTCTCACCTACAGCCACCACAGATCAGATAAACAGTCAAGGCCCTCCATGTCCTTTCCTAACAACCCCCAGGGCCAGGGTGCCTGTTTTTCAGGTCTCAACTGCACAAAGGCTTTAGCAAAGGGTTCACTAACACAGGAGACTTGATCCTGTTTGATCTTTGATGATGCTATAAACACAGAAATGGCCAAACCCACACAATTCAGGCTCATTTCCAAGAGTCAAATCTTAATTTTTGGTTATAAAACAAAATTACCACTGCAGAGGAAGCCAGCCCATGGTCCCCTAGTGGCACAAATCACATAAAACAAACAAGATTATAAACCTCCCTCTGGAGAAGGGGGAAAAAAAGTACCCAAGTGCATGTTTCAGTTAATCTTTATCTTTCTGTCCATAAGTAAGCAAAGAGTTTACAGTGCAAGTTGATTTCCACAGAACAAGGATCAGACTCCAAACACCAAGAAACAAACAAAAAGGCTTCCAGAGGAACTCACAAAGAAACAAAGCAGAAAAGAGAGGACGGAAGAGATCATGAGAACCAGCAGATCCATGGGAGGGAAGAGGCAAAGCACAGGGGACACGGGAGGCCCCGTTCCAGCTGTGAGGTGCAAGTGCCATACAATCAGAGTCTGGCCCCACCAAATCACATTCTTGTACAGGAGATTCTCCAAGTGAAACAGAGCCCTCACCCTGTTTACACCTGAACAGAGGTGGGGTCAGGATGGGAGAAGTGCTGGGTGGCAAAGTGGGTTGGAGATGGGAGGCAGGTGGGGGAATAACCTCTCTCTATTTCACTTATTTCTTACCCTTCAGAAAACCGTTTCAATTTTATTTCACTTTCTACTGGCCTGGGACTCCATTCTCTCTCAGTGCCCAGAGGAGGAAACCACCTGAGTACAGGCCAGTGGGAGCCAGCAGCACACTGGAGCAGCTCTCTGGGAGAGGATGGTCCTGCTGTTACCACTGCAGCTGCAGAGCTTAGGCCAGGGTTACAGTCACAGAGTGTGTGTCACACTGTCCCTGTGCCTAATGTGACAGACCTGTTTCCATGCAGTGATGCCACTGGGTCTAACCTGTGGCAAACAGCTCATGGCCAGCAATCCTCCCAAGAACCTGAATAAAAAGAGCACCAAGGATTATGCTTTGATGGAAAGGTCTCAGTTCATGACAGGACCCCTCACATTTCAGTGCCTGAAGACCACGTGAGTCTAAGACAGCAGCCCCTCCCAGCAGAACATGAAATTTGACTCAAACTCCAGGGTGTCTCCACTCACCAATGTGTAACCCCACAATGCTGGACCAAGCCAGCAACAGCGGATCTCCCACCAATTTCCACTCTGGCTTCCCAAAATGTACACGTGCTTGGGACCCAATACATTCAAGATCCAATAACTTGGTCAATAAGCAAAATGCCCTGAAGAATTCAACTTTGCCTCAGCACTCTCCACTCCCTACTGACATGGAGATGCTTTTCCTCCTACAACTTCCAAATTCCTCCTACAACTTCCCTGAGTGCCTCCCTCAAACCCTTGCCTTAACAGTAGTGTGCAAAAGACCCTTCTGCTCCCTGCATTGCATCAGCCTGCCAGGCAAAGATGGAAGGATATGGTTCCTTTCAAACCCAGGTGACACTGTCCTTTCAGCCAGTGGGAGAAGACTTAAAAGAGTGAAGTCAGGTCTCTTCTCCTTGCTCTCACTGAGTCAGTCCCTTCCTTCCTCTGGATTAAACTTAAAAGTAAGACAGGCTCCTTTGCAACAGTCCACCAGGCTGCTGGGCCTGGAAGCTGAGGAAAAACTTCTGAGCCACACCAACAAAACTTCTCAAGCAGCTTTCCAGGAAAGGACTAGAGAGATTCAGAACTGAGACACAAAATTCTCCTTCAACATCTTCTCCTTTCATTTAGGTGGGAAAGACTTCCCTATATGCAACTGAGACACCAGGGAGAGACCTGCAGCCAGAAGGGATGCCCTGGAAACTTCATGGAGCTACATGGAAGTAACTGCAGTTTCCAAACCCTGTCTCCTGCAGCAATAGCAGCTTCTCCCTTTGCACCCAATTTACAGCTAGTATTTTTCAATTAAATGCTGACTCTGACCAGGGCAAGGACAGGGTCAGATTGGTTTCCAAACCACATCCAGAAGCAAAAGAGTAACAGAGGAGCTAAGAACAGTCTGATTTCTAGTGCAACCACAACAATGGACAATCCCTTAGATATCTTTAACTCAAGGTTCGTGGTGAAGGGTGAGGGAAGAGAAGTGAGCTGGGGGAAGGGATGCCCAAGCAGGTCCCGATTAAAGCTTTAAATGACAGGGAGGTAAATGAAGTGATTGTCCTTTTGGTCTCTCAGCTGGACGTGAAATGCAGGAATAGCTGTGATGAAGCAGCACGCCACAGTCCTTAGATCCAGTGTGTTTCTCTCAGTAGAGGTAAGTGTTCTCTTCAGACCCGTTGAATTTCAAACAGCTTAACATCTGTGTCATACCAGATCGGGGGATCCACATTCCTGAGAGAGAAAGACAAGAGCAGCTTTACTCCCTGTGGCCAGTTACATAGAATTCAAATCTCACAGCCACGATTTCAGGAGCTGGCTGCACAGCGTGCCTTCAGCTTTGCATAAAAGGAAGTCACTGTTTGAGAGACAATGCACCTTACAGGGATGACAGTATCTACACAAAGCCAGAGCTTTGCATAAAATCTCTGCACCAGACCCTCTGGGCAGCTTTTCTATTCCCTGCTGCTGCCAGTTTTCAAACAAGTAGCACTCCCAGAACAACCCCCTTCACATCACCCACTCCAAGTTTTGGAGCAGCTGATACACCCCAGTCTCTTCCAAGGAAACAACATCTTTCTCTCCTGTAAATATGAGATAACCCAGGGCTGACTGAGGGCATGCAATTCTCTCTGTAGGGCTCCCAAAAGTCTGGAAAAGACCAAGGCAGGCTGCACGCAGCTGGTTTACCTCAAATAAATAACTCCCCACATGTAGGTGCGGAACCACATGGCAGTGCCCGAGTTTGCCTGGTACTTGCGGATGAGGATGGGGTGAGGCACTGGCAGCAGCCCCACCAAGGTGCCATGCTGCAGGAACTTGAGGATCTCCGACTCATCCGTGAGACCCCTGCCAAGACACAGAGCAGGAACATCCTTAGCATGTCCCACAGACACTTCCAAAACTGCTGCAGCACGAAGGACCAGCCTAAACAAACACAGATACTGAGCCGAGGCCCAGGAGAACACACTCCCTCTCCTCTGTAAACAGAGCAGAGAAGGGATCAGACAAACAAGATGTTTGGCAAGGCAAGTAACAACTCTGCTGAGCCCAAGATGCTTTCAATTAAACTTTACAAGGTTTCCCTTAGAGGCCCTCCAAGTTCAAATTCTGCCAAGCTCATATTGCTCCTTAAACAGCACACAGCCCTTCCTTTCCAAAAAATCTCCTTACTTGTCAATGCAGATCTTCTCCACCTGAGGGACCAGCACCTGTAAGAGCCGCATGATTGTCTGCAGGGGGAGCTTTGACTTCCAAGACATCACCTGTAGGTAGGAAAACAGCAGGGAAATGAGTACACTGCATGAGCAGGTTTTTACAGCTGTCTCCACAATCTCTGCAACAAATGAAGTTTACAATAATCACAAAACTGGTGGGTGAACTGAGTGCACAGGAGCAATACAATAAATCCTGGAGCACTAGAATTATGAGGCACCCAATAAGAACAGTGGGGCATTGGTTTGAAACAGGTAAATAAAATATTCTTTGCAGATGTCAGTAAATTAAACTTCTAGAGCTTTGACCTCAAGTGCCTGTGAGGAAATGCTGCTCTAGGAAAGCCTCTGATGGCAGGAAAGGGGCAGGGAGTGTGAGGCATTTCTGCCACAACTCTTTCTCATTATTTATTTCCTGTGTAAAGATGCCCTTACCCAGTCAGGAGTTGGAGTCCACTGTCCACTGGAGGATGCACTAGAGAGACGCCTTCGATCCCGCCAGGAATGTGATGCCTCCTATCAATAAACATTATTTTCAACAAATAAAAACAAGCAAATGTAAATCACACTTAAGAGTAAGAAATAAAATCCGTTTTCTGCTGATATTCTCCCCAGATTTTCTAGACCACTACTGGGAAAGACAGCTCAGCCTGTCTCTAGAACATGTCAAACCCACCTGACCTTCATTCACCAAACCCATGTGCTCTCACCCAGAGAGTGGCAATATTTAATGAAGCTGGAGGACCCTGACAGCTTCAGTCACCACTGTTGACACTCTGCTGGAAAAATCCACAGTGACAGAGTTAAAACAGCACTGACAAGAGACTGTTCAGAGGGATGCTTCTTTCTTTTGGCACAGAGATGATATAACTAAGGGCCACAGATTTTTCAGCCTCTGTCTACTGAGTATCTCTGTGATTTTTTGTGTCCATTCTGGAATATCTTAAAGAGCATTTTTCCAAGGGTAGGCTCCCAGCAACTCCTATCTAATAACTCTTGCCTCTTGAGGAATGACACACTCAACCTGGCTTTCCATATTCATGGTGGGAAGCAGGGAAGGAAATAACCCTCTAAAATCACTGTCAGTCTCTGCACAAGGTGAAAACAGAGAGGCTTTTTCCTTTAGCAATGCTTCCTGACCATTCAGTGCTACAGCATGGAGCTGACTTTTCTACAAAATAAATGGGCATAGCACTTCCTTCCAACAGCCACCCTGCAGCTCCACATAAATGGACTCATTCACTCGTCACCTTGTCAACCAGAAACAGCCAGCTTGGGGTAGAGCTGTGCCTGTGTTTTTCTGGCTGGGGAACAGCTTGAGCCAGCTGCTGGACACAGATGGAAAGACCCATGATTATGTTTCATGGGCTGCTGGAAGAAGAAACCTTCCACAAGTTCTCAGTCAAGATCTCAATTAATGATAACATAATTAATTGTGTGCTTAAGACGTCTCGCTGGCTTCAACTGGTACCAGGCAAGGCCAGGAAGGGTAAGTAAAATAGGTCCTGGAGTATTTGGGATTTCTGTACATTCCAATTTATTCAAGGCCACTCTGAGGGCAGCACCAGCTAGTTAAAAGATTCTGGTAGAGCTCTCCATCCCGAGGGAGATGAAAAAGAAGCAACAGTAAGAACCTGAGTTGGAAACATCAGGATTGGGAGGTTTCATGGACATCCTCTGGCAATTCTGTACTCACTGCTCTGTCATAGTCTTCATGTTGGAGAAAGCTCACTCAAGTGCACCAGCTCTTGTGTCATAGCATAAACATGAAACACCCAAGATGATGTAACAGCCCTTCTGGACCACGTTGTGTCCCAGCACCCTGCACGTGTGCACACTGCCTTTAATGTGATGCCCTTCTTCAATGAGCCAACAGACCTCTTCTTCTAACCCCTCATTTTTGTTCACACCTAGACCTTCCCTGCACACCAGTGTCCAGCCTTACCCCACTCCAGGGCTCCCCATCACTCAGGGCTGCAGGGTTTCCCTCTGGTGACAGCTGGGAAGCCTCAGGCTCCAGGGAACGCATGGTCCCATCCTCTGACACCTGTGACTTCTCCGTGAGCTTGTCAATCCCTGTGTTCAAAGGAGGAAAAGCTCAGAAACATAAGTTAATTAAATAGGTTTAAAAGCAGAGGGCTCTTCTCTGCCCCACTATGCACAGACACCCTGTGTCTCTGCTGATATTGGAAAAGCTCCCCTTTCAACAGGAGAAGCAAGATTTAGCTTTGATTTCACAACCCCAAAGGACTTTTTCTCTACAAAAATGCTCCCTGAGGAGGAGGAACACAGATTCACATGGATGGAGTTAACCTGAGCCAACAGGTCAAGATTAGGACAAATGGTCATGTGGACACTAAGTCTGAGAGGACAGAAACTCAAGGCAGTTTGTTTGTGATCAGCTTGGGCCAACTGATCTGAAACTCAGACTGAAAGGCAGTTAACTTATTCACAAATGTAAACTCCTAATCTCTCCACACCCAGTGAAAGGGTGAGTCCACACCATATCCCACAGAGAAAACAAACCTCTCCTGTCCCAAAGGTAAACTAAAGCTCACCTGGAGTAGCCACCAGACTGGTCTTCAGCGTCCCTGGCTCAGCAGGGGCAGCGGGACGTGAGCCTTCCATGGAGACCCCGTCCTGGGAGTTGGTGCGGGAAATGGGCTCAGGGCTTTTCTTCTTGCGCTGCAGCCCCTTCTGGATGGACTGGGAGTCCGTGGGCAGGTTGGCCAGCTGGTGAAAGACATTCCGCTTGCGGATAACAGCATAGACCAAATTGGAGTTCCCTGGGAATCACAGCGACAGAATGAGGGGAGAAGGCTCAAAGAGCTCTGCCAACCCAGCACAGCTCGCTGGGTGCACAAAGCCTGACTGCTCCCACCCACAGAGGCACAGGGAAAAAAGAGCAGAGCTCAATATCCTCTTATCCATTATAAAGCACTACAGAAAATTCAGTGAAATCCTCCCTAGGCTGGAAAGCTGACAAGAAATGGCTTGGTGAGGGATATTCACACAGCTGAGAAGAAAAGGGACAGTTTGAACCATGTATTAGTATCTATTTTAGAAGAAAAGGTTACTAGCCAAAGTTCAACATTCTTCCATCTTCAAAAGAACTCACAAAAGAAATCAGGACACTTTGAGGAGACACAAGCTTGAAATAGCAAAGCCAAAAGGCCAGAATTCTTATTGCCTGCAAGATGGCACAGAACAGAATGAAACCATCCTCTAATATTGAACACAAATTATACCCACAAAGGCTGGTTTTGGATTTGGCAATTGCCACATGCAAGATTCCCATCAGGGAAGCAGAATGGCCATTCTTGATTTGCAAGTTTAAAGCAAAACACTAAATTTTGACCAGGCTTAGGGACCTTATTTTATTATTTATTGTCATGCTATTAACAGGGAAAGCATTAGGCATTTCCTGGAAAGTAGCAAATATCAGAACTTTCTTTGGATGAGGTGGTTTGGTCTTCAGACCCCAGAGACCTGCCAAAGCAGAACTGAGAGGCACTTAAAAGTTGTTTTCTCCCATCACCTACATTGCTGAGCAACATGAGCAGTTTCACAGCAACATCCAGCCATCACAGTTTACATGTTACACACTCACTTCATGTTCCTTTTCCTCTCTGTGCATCTCATCTTCTGCAGGAGGGCTCAGGTTATGCTAATAATTAGCTGCCATCTCATTTTGCTCTAACCAAATTTGCCTGGACCAGGACCCAGTGCTGACTATCTACTAACCCAACTTCTCAGTCCTATGTAGCTCATTTCTACACTTCTCTCTCATCTCCTTGGACTTCCTCTGAACTTTCATCTGACATTCTCTTGGACTAAACTAGTGCAAACCCACTAATAAATAAAGCAGCAGTCTGTTACCATCAAACTGGTACTGAATGATGTTGTTGAAAACTTCCAGCAAGAAGAAAACGAGATGGTGGTTCTGGACAGCAGAGAATAGGAACCAGGTGGTGGAAAAAGCCTCCAAGAGATGCAGCAACTTGTTAGCAGCCACCATGGAGAGAGACTTCAGGTATGGAGACACTGTGAAAGGCAAAGTAAATGAAAACTAGAGAAAGAATCAAGGTGTATATATTCTAAAAAATACACCACTAAAAAGTTGCTTTTTGACCTTCCCACCCCTTGCACTTCTGAGAAAGCCTCATGGAACAGCTGAGCCAAATGGTTCCACAGAAACATTTCTAAATACAAAGCAACTTAAATAGAGATATTGCCTAATAAAATGAGGCATTGCTGCTTTTAGAGGGTTTTATTTAATCTTACACTAATAACAACACCTCTGCTGTGCATCCTGAAAAGCTTCACAACTGGAGCCACCTGGGCACTCACTAAGTCCAAGGGAAGCACCACCACTGTGAGGAGGTGACACTCCCTGCTGGAAAGGGACAGTACTGCCAACTACCCTCACCAGGCCTGCTGGAAAATGTCCTGTCACCTCCCCAAGGCAGCTCCAGGACTCTGCTGTCCCTCCTTCTGCCCCATCTGACCATGCAGGCAGATCTTATCTGCACTGGCCAGTGCCCTCCAGCAGCAGGCACTGGCCAGTGTTAGGGCACACAGCCAGGGGCACAGGGAGAGGGCAGTGAGAGCACTGTGAGCTGTGGTTTCTCCCCCACAGTGCTCACCGTTCACAACGATGGTGAGCAGGCAGTCGAAGAGGGGCTGCAGCCGCTGGTGCCCGCTGGTGATGATCTTGTGAAAGACCTGTGGAAGGAAGGAGCTCTTGAGCAAGGCAGCACCTTACTGAAAGCACCCTCTCAACCAAAACCAGCGCCACCCCCACACTAATCGCTTCCTGACACCACTCCTTCCTAGGCAGGGCCCTGCACACTCCACAATTACACAGGTGGGGAAGGCTGCTCTCACTGCAGACTTGTGCTCCAGGAGTACAAGGAATCCTTTGGGAATGTGATTAGGGCCCTATAACACTGCAAACAGAAAATGACTGTGAGCTGTTCAACAACGTTCAGGCAGCCTGGGACAAAACTAAACCACCAGGAAGTAAGAGATGCCTTCACCTTCAACAGACTTTGATTCTGAACCCTTATGATAGCTGCTTGAAATGCCACAGAACTAATAATTTTACATTTGATTTTAGTGCAGACTTCTAACTCAAATGTTTGTCCTATTTTTAACTATATCTTCAGACATGGAAAGATTCCAGTGCCTCGTAACCAGTTCAGACATTCGCACTCTCGGCCTTCCCACCTTTAGTTATCATGTCTGTAAGGGAAGTCCTAAGCATAATTAAAACAAAGAAATTATCTGAGATTAATGGAATGTAAGAGCAAAACACATAGCATCAAGAGCAGTTATGGTGGGCAGGTTTCTGCCTACTCCTTTGAATAGGAATCTCCTCTTGGACATTTATCAGAAGCTGCTGAGAGCTTCTTCTCTGGCAAATGAGAACATGACAGAAGGGAAGCACCCGAGGCTTGTATTGCAAAGCACACAGCAGCTTACAGGCAGTGTTGTGGGCAGACTGAGAGGTCAATGAAACTTACAGCAACCCAAAGCTGTAGAGCTGAGCTTGGCATCACTGTTGTCCCTTCTGATAAATGTGCTCCACACACTTCTGGTTGCCTGGGACAGAGCCAGATCTCCTGCCTTCCCTACCAGTAGAGTAGAGGGCATGCACCCACCCCATCACGACAGCAGTGCAGCACCATGAGGAATCCTGTTCTTTGGGATCATATCATGCAGATGGAATTGCACCTCATGCATATGCACCCTGGCAGACACATCACCTCAGGTTAACAGTGTGCATCCCACACACTTCCTAGCTGCTCAGTGGGCTAGCTAGTAGTAGTAGACTAGCTTCCAGTCTAGGGAGGGTGAGTATATCAAAGGTGGACAATTATTTGTGGAGCTAGGAGGGTTCAAGAGGTGCTGGAGCTGTACTCACTATGATGAGCAGATCTGCATGTGTCCCTGTGAAGACAGGGATGTCCATAGGCACTCGTACAGAATACGGCTTGTTCAGTCGCACCCCGAAGTTACGCTCCCCACTGAGGAGCAGGAGGATAAACACCCCAATGTGCATCAAGCCCACTCGTGCTGCAAGGAGAAAAAAACAAGAAAAACATGTCACAGTGAGGCCAGTGGAATTCTGTGAGGGGCAGGGAGGAGAGAGGAGAAACACTATGGGACTGATTAAAAACTGCACAGACTAAACCATCCTGATAAGGGACATCCCACACAGCGCCTCCCTTCATTGTCAGCACCAGTGTCCTTCCCAAGCACATCTGTGTTAAGTGTTATCAGTGTTAAGTCTTGGATGCTTTTCTTCCTTATGTTCTTAATGTAAACCTATCATCATAGTAGTGAAGATCTGATTACTTCTCTCCACTACACAATAAAGGAGTTATGCCTGATTTACTCCCATAGCAAAGCAGACTGGTCATTTTTCTCTCTTCACTGGATCAGGGACACAATTTTCAACAAGAGGACTCAAAATGTTAACACATACTAAGGAAGGATCTCCCTTCCCTATATTGCAGGATAGATTGTGTCCTGCTTCTAGTCCCTTACAAACATTAAAACCCAATTAACCAGACAACTCCACTCCATGTCTATAGGTCAGGAACCTGCATTCAAGATGCTGTCAACTGGTAGGGAGGAAGCATCTCAAAAACATTCTAGCTCAGCTGCCAAGCACAAATTGTTCCAAATATTGAAAATAACCAACTTACACTGGTCTGCTCTGGCATCATTGAGAAAGTACAAGATTGGGACAAGAATGTCCAGAACATCGCTGCTCTTCAGCACAAAGAAGAGGAATTTCTGGAAGAAAAGGGAAGATTTCAGGCAATCATAAGCACATACCCTGCACCATCCACAGGACTCAGGACAGGCAGTCTCTAGTTAATGAGTCTCTCAAGAGCATTAGAAAGGCTGGTGTATGCACTACCTCATCAACTCCAGCGTTACTTGTAGAGTTATTATAAAACTGTTGCATAACCTGCTTCCAGCACAGACCTTCAGGAGCTGCAGCCCCTCTCCCAGGCTATCTCTACAGCCAGACCCCCAGCCCCTGCATCAGTGGGGCTGATGACCACAGCACCCCAGAGCCAATGCCAACCACCCACCACAGCCCTTCACCAGGGCTTGATCCAGCCAGAGTCACAACAACCAAGCTGGGGTGAAGCTCAGCAAGAAGCAGATCCACACCTTGTTGAAGTCACAGAGTTTCCAGAAGAGGACAAGGAGTTCCTGATGGAATTGTATTTTCTTGGCAGAGTTTGGCAGGTAGGTCTGGACCAGTGGGTTTGATAACAAGCGAGCCACTCCTTTCAGGATGAACTGGAAATCCTGCCAACAGATCAGGAAAGAGACTGTGGTGGGCCCAGGGCTAATGCAATGAGCATGAAATCAGACAGGGAACAGTGCAGGATGGGAACATGTTACCTCCTCCCGGTGTATCCTTGAGAGGTAATTCACAAACAGATTGTCTGGTCCAGGAGGCTGCATTCAAAGAAAAGGAGAGAAATGCTTACTGGCAAAGTATATTCAGGAATTTGAAGTATAACCACCAAGGTTTCTTACTTCAGCTTTCTGCTCTGAGTAATCCAGCTTTAAATGCAGAGACAGAGCACTGCATGGAATAGTAAAGTCAAGGGCTTTTCACTTACACGCTCCTGATTTAAGTCAGTGATCAAAATCTAGTTTTTTGGTCATGTATAGGTCTTTAGTGACAATGGGACTGAAGAAGGATTGAAACAGAGAGAGCAGACTGCAAGGGGAGTTTGGTCATGTATAGGTCTTTAGTGACAATGGGACTGAAGAAGGATTGAAACAGAGAGAGGAGACTGCAAAGGGACTAGCAGTGCTACTCAAAAAGCAGTGCTGGGTCCTACAGCTCAACATTCAATACAAGCTGGTGTGAGAGGAGCCCAGTGAGTTCAGGAGAGCAGCAAATACAGATTCCAGTATCACTCACATCCACATCATCCATGGCTGTGCCAGTGGTTGTGCCATCCACGGTGGGACTTGAACTGGTGGAGCTGTCATAGTCCAAGGTGACGATCAGCACCTGGGCCGCCTCCTCCACCAGCGGCTCGCGGTAGTCGGAGAAGAGCAGGTGATTGTAAGGAATCCCATAACCCACGGGGTCGTAGGCACACACAACGTTCAGGAGCGAGGTGAAGAGTGGGAGTGCATGTCTGAGGAGGAGAAAATGTCCTAAGAGGCAGCAGCAGGAAACAAAAGGCACTGCCTTGGAGAGAGACAGGCATTTCTCTCCCCAGGAGCCTGGGGCCATGAAAAAACACAATCATTTTCTCTAACCTGTGACAGCAGTCCATGATTGAGCAGCTCAGACCCAAGAGCCAAGACTGCAGCTCCCAGCTGGGCTCCTGGACTACAGCTGAGAGGGGAGGGGAGGTGAAAAAGGCCACCTGGGCTCCCAGAGGAATCATGTGCAAAATGGGAAAACGGGAAAGGACCTCAAAGCTCTCTAGCCTCTGGAAAGACAAAACTGTATTTCTTCAGCCTCCAGCCAGGTTTGTACTCCCCTAAGGTGAGTGTCACCTGAGGAGCTGGAAGTCCCAGAAGTACAATTTCACTAGAGGGCGGCATTTATCCGCCACCAACACCACGCCCCCTTCCTTCCCAAGGGAACTGCAGGGAACGGCACCTGCCATTTCAAAGAGGGCAGGGATCAGTCATCCTGCAGCAAACTCCAGTGGGCACCGTGCTCAGACTCTCCTTTTGCTGCTGAGGAACACTTCTGTCTAAGCAGAAATACTAATGGGGTGCACATGAGACAGGGACAAAGTAAAAGAACAGCCCCTGGATGTTGGAGGTAACAAGTCCTATGGTTACCCATTATCAAAACACTCCATGGAACAGATTTGAAGATATTTGAAGATATTTCTCCCCCTGGAACTCAGGCACCCACCCTTTACCCTCACCTGTTCTCTGTAGAGCAGAAAAACTGTACCCAGGGGTTGGTGTTGCTGCTGTCTGAGGAGGGAGGCAGGTACATGGCCTCAGAGAAACAGGTCAGCAGCAGCTTCAGCAGCTCTGTCCTGGAAGGAGAAATAAAGGCCTGGAGCCATCAGGAGCAGGGACTGGGCATAGGAGGCACAATCACCACAACAACACATAAGGAAGGCTCAATCCCATCTAGAAAATCCTTCTGAGGGAGAGCTAAGCCCATTTCATTTCCTAAGCCATACTGCTGTCACTGGCACAAAGCTAAACAGAATTGCTCCCTTACGAAAAAGAAATCCAGTACAGAGCTCCTTGGCATTTCCAGAACAGCAGTGTTTACCCAGTTCCTACTGCAGACAGTCTGACTCCCACCTTATGTTACGAAAAGCTGCTCAAAAGGTCAGCTGGGTTTTTTTCCTTGTTGCCAGTCCTGTTACCTTGGAAAGGAGCAAGCAGAAAGCTCCTTGGGAATCATGGATACTCGAGGAGGCAAAGAGACCTCATCTCCCCCAGATCTCCCTCTCCTGAGCCCAGTTTCTTTCTATTCAGCCTTACCAGAAGCTCTTACCTATTCAAGTCATGGATGTAGTTGGGCTGTGGAGAATGAGCAAAGCCCACTCCTGCCTCCCAGATGTACTCACAGCTGTCAATGGAGTGGATATCTTCTGCTGTGTCCTGTGGGAGAAATAAGAGGTTGAATCACAGAAGGAAGAAGCCAGACTTGGCAGCAATGGTGGTATACACAAGGCAGTTCAGCCCCTCTCACTAGAAAAAAAACAGCAGAGAAACACCCAGACAATTGAACTGTACAAAAGCTCCCCCGCAGGGCTGAAAAAGCAGGTGCTGATGTCTTCAAATAGTTCAGCCTTTACAAGCAAGGGATAAAACACAGAGATAAAAGTGCTATGCATGATGGAGGGAGCCCACATTTCCAGCCATAATTTTAGGGCTAACTTCAGTGGGAACATGGGTCAGTGCTGTGTCTCCTTTGCCCACTGTCTCACAGTTCTTCCTCTTTACTCAGTGATACTTCAGCCAACATCCACCACGACCTGTGTCTCTGGGGCTGCTCTGCCATGAACAGAAGATGGTGGCACTCCTGCCTCCCAGATGTACTCACAGCTGTCAATGGAGTGGATATCTTCTGCTGTGTCCTGTGGGAGAAATAAGAGGTTGAATCACAGAAGGAAGAAGCCAGACTTGGCAGCAATGGTGGTATACCCAAGGCAGTTCAGCCCCTCTCACTAGAAAAAAAACAGCAGAGAAACACCCAGACAATTGAACTGTACAAAAGCTCCCCCGCAGGGCTGAAAAAGCAGGTGCTGATGTCTTCAAATAGTTCAGCCTTTACAAGCAAGGGATAAAACACAGAGATAAAAGTGCTATGCATGATGGAGGGAGCCCACATTTCCAGCCATAATTTTAGGGCTAACTTCAGTGGGAACATGGGTCAGTGCTGTGTCTCCTTTGCCCACTGTCTCACAGTTCTTCCTCTTTACTCAGTGATACTTCAGCCAACATCCACCACGACCTGTGTCTCTGGGGCCACATGCTGCTCTGCCATGAACAGAAGATGGTGGTACCCATCTCTCTGCTCTTAAGCTGCAGTCAGACCAAGCCCAGAGAGGAAAAGTCAGCCCAGCAAAGACTATGGAGGCTGCAGGCAGCAGCAACAAGGAACATAAATCATTCACAACCTCAGTGTCTAATTCCAGTTGCCCAGAATCCTGAAAAACCAGTCTGGCTGCTGCCAAGGGAAAAATCACAGGTGCAAGTGGTGGGGGGAGGCTCTCCCAGGAAAATCCATTGTCACCCTGCCTTTGTGTAATCCATCCCAGGTGCCAGCACTGGACAGGGAGTCCATCTGTTTCAGCACCACTACTCATAGCACATGGGTAGCTCTGATCCAGCCTTGCCCCTTCAGCCCCAGGTGACAGATTTCAACTCTTTTTCTACTACTCAGAAACCCCAAGCAATCAATTTTGTACTCAGATTTGTCACAGAATTTTGCAGCCATCAAACACACTATGGTTTAGCATGCTCATTTTTAATTTGTGTCGGATGTATCCCAAAAAGGAGAACTGTTCTTTTTTTTTTGTTTATAGACTGAACCTACAAAAAAAATATGAGAGTCACTCGCAGGGAGAAAGGAGGGAGATGCACCACAATCTGTTCTCTGTTCTTAGCACACCTGGTAGGAGATCCCTGCTTCAGGAAACTCCTCTGAGGTACAGACAGTCACCACAAGGATCAGAACATATTTAAATATCTTTGCTGCCACAATGCAAAGAGGGAGAAGAGGTGGAAAGACACAACTGAGGCCATCTTCTCATGCAGATCACAGCACATGTGAGCAGGCAAACAGCTGCTTCCTGCCCCAGAATGCACCAAACTGCCAGAGAGAGGAACAAGGTGCTAAAGGTCTCTGCTCTGCTGGCAACAACAGAAGAGCAACTGTTTGCCAGCATAACCACCTTTTCCTGAGGTTTTAAGCTGTAGTGTGGGGGTAGTTGCCAGCCACTCCATTTGAGACTCATCCCCAGAACATCTGTTTTAGAAGGGACAAACACCATACCATAAACCCAAAATGATGATCAATATTACTCACTGTAGGGTCAAGCTCAGCAAATCTGTATTTTCCTGCCTGCAGGCTTGCAGGAAGCTGCTGGGGTTTCCCAGGGTCCCCCCCACCATGCAGCTAATCTCATGATTCAATTTCCAACTCACCACCGTGCTCCTCCGGTGGCTCTGCACAGTGAAGTCGGGACAAAAGAGCAGATCTGTGACAGCGAGGAGCAAGGACTCGGCCAGCGGCCGGGCATTTTCATCATCTTCATCTCCCTGAAGTGACAAACAGAACAACACTGTCAGTTCAGGCTGAGCAAAGAGCACACAGTAATGGCACAGCACAAGAAGACACAATCTCCAAAAACACATAGGGAGGTGAGACATTACACAGGAACTGGAGGGAACAAAAGAACAAAGGAACAAAAACCCAGATGGTACAGGAAAGAAATTTCCCCCCGGATGGTGCTGACTGAACAGGAACAAGCTCTTTAATGACAGCAAACTGAGCACACAAGGGCCTGGAGATGTCAGGGAAAAAGAAGAGTAGCACTGGGTACACCTTGCCACGTGGCTTGGTTATTGAAGACAAAAGGAAAGAGAAGCATTGACAGAGAAGAGGGTTTTACAGTCATGAAGGAGGGTGATTTGGATGGTGCATGGAGACAGCAACAGGGAGAAGCCACCCAGCAGCAATAAGGTAAAAATCCCTCAAAGTTCTTTCTGCATGGGCTGCCCAAAACTGGAGGTGACAGAACAGGGTGAGGCTGTGTGCATCAGGCAAGGGGCTGACCCAGCCTGCCTCAGCAGAGCGAGCACAACAGCAGAGAGGATTGTGCCATCTCCAGCATTCAAAGAATCTCTCCAAGCACGCATGGCTACTCCTCTGCAGCTGTTGCCACGGGAAACCTTGCCAGATCCTGCCTGTCAAAGAGCATCCTGCCTGGGAGGCCTTCCCACCACACGCTGGTGCTGGAGGGAAAGACAGAGAGCAGGAATGGCAGGAGCTTATCTACCTCAGCCAGGCCTCTGTCAGCCTGAGCACAACACACAGCTCTTCAATCACAGCAGGCAGCTATGCAGATAGTGGTCTGTGTGGCTCTGAATCTCTCTTGGTGACAGCAGGGAGGATACCACAAACAGAACCCAGATATAAGAACAGGCACACAGAGGATGGATGGAGCCAGCAAAGATGCTTTGACTTGTGCTCACAGTCAGAGGAGAAATGACAACCATTAGGGTCCAAGGGGATTTCTTTTCCAAGACTGATCTTTACTAAGAGTATCTTGACTGCCAGAAATAATGTCCCTGCAGGCTGCAGGTACCACCACATCCAAAATGGTGACACACAACAAACCAGTAGATCTGAACACAATACAGACTCCCACAGAGGAGGGAGAAGCCATGGCTCCAGGAAGCTCTGTCATCCATCACTCCATCATGAAGCAGATGAAGCATAATTACAGAGATATTTACTGAGTCCAGGCATACCACCATCTTCAGTTCCCAGACAGAAATCAGCCACCAGACAGCAAAGCTGTTGCCCCAGATTAGATGTGATCCCAGCTTCCCTAACATCTCAGGGATGTATTTGTTATCCCAGCCTTACAAGTTAAATGCACAAGGTTAAATGACTGAGCACACCAAGCCAAAGCAGCTCCACCCACACTCTGGAGGGTTCCCCAACACAGCTAACGTGGACTGGGCTGGATCACCTTGGGGTGACTCCACCACTGTGAGGCTGAGAAACTCTTTTCTAGGTGCTGAACAAAGTGGAAAAACAGGAATAACAGCAGCCTGCCTAGATCAGAGCACCAGGCACCCCTGCATTTTCCTTCCCAAAACAAGTTCCTCCATTGTTAAGCCTCACCAGCACTCCCTGGCCCCTGCAGGGATGATAAGACTGACAACCACCACCCTCCCAATAGCACAAATCACAAAGCACGACTAGCAAAGACTTCCCTTTTCATCACCTAGAACTTCCTTTTGATGTGTCCTCAGGCAAAGCAGATTAGAGGTGACAGGCAGACAGCAAAAGGTGCCAGTTTATACGGTACCAACCACTGCCAACCCTTCATAGCTGTCCCCAAAGACACGGCACTGCACTTAGACTCAGGAGAACCACATAGTTCAGTACAGCCACACTGACTGCAGAACAGAAACTCATAGGAACAGGCTCTCTATGCACAGACCAGCTGAGGGAGCAAGCAGGTAAATACATAACTCAGCTGTGCTCTCAGTGCTGCCATTCCTCCTATTTCCAGAAGATCCTAAAGCACTTTCACCCCATTCTTCTGAGAGATGCAAAAGACCCCTGTTGTGCTTGCTCTCCAGACAAAGAAATGTGGGGAGGCTGAGATACTCCCCGGGGTTATGTACCTCACTGACAGAGCCAGAAACAGAACCACTCCTTAACCACTCTCGCTTAGCTGTGGGCTTTACCTCCCAGGTTAGGTCCCCTGGCTAAAACTGCATCACTCAGCTCATAAGCAGGTATTGAATCATGATGCCAAGAGCTTCTCTGGCACTGTTCACTTTAAATGCGACATTGTAAAATCAGCACAAACAATGCAACCCTGTTACATTTTGATTTGAAACTTAAATCAACTGTAATTAATGGAACAAGGACATTTCAGTCTAAGAAAGTCATACAGCCTTCAGTACAGCTCTCAGATTCATTAAGACTCATACCTCCAGTTGTACTGGAGAAGCCTTTCCTCACATATCAGTGCTCTCCCATAGCTACATACACAAGTGAAATATCCAGAAGATGCAGCAAGAATCAAATGGAAGAAGAAGGGAAAGAATTTAAAAAGTGCCACCTAATTTCTGACCACATAGAAATAACAGGAATAAAGTTGCCCCCAAATAGTGTCTCCTCACTGCAGCCTCCCCATCACTCTCCAGAAAGAAGAATAAGTGACAAGAGACAGACCCCTCCTCGGCCTGCCCCAGGGACAGTTGACCAGAAGAAACCTCTCCAGTCTGGGTCCTCAAAGATGTAAGGCAGGATACGGGTGAGGAGTCGACAGCAGTTCAAGACAATTTGTCTTTCCTTCTCCGTGTGGCAGCCACTCTCTGCTCCCTGCACCAGCTTCTCCACAGCCTGAAGGAAGCAAAACCAAGGAAGGCAGCATTAGCCTTGAGGGAGCAAGCAGGTAAATACATAACTCAGCTGTGCTCTCAGTGCTGCCATTCCTCCTATTTCCAGAAGATCCTAAAGCACTTTCACCCCATTCTTCTGAGAGATGCAAAAGACCCCTGTTGTGCTTGCTCTCCAGACAAAGAAATGTGGGGAGGCTGAGATACTCCCCGGGGTTATGTACCTCACTGACAGAGCCAGAAACAGAACCACTCCTTAACCACTCTCGCTTAGCTGTGGGCTTTACCTCCCAGGTTAGGTCCCCTGGCTAAAACTGCATCACTCAGCTCATAAGCAGGTATTGAATCATGATGCCAAGAGCTTCTCTGGCACTGTTCACTTTAAATGCGACATTGTAAAATCAGCACAAACAATGCAACCCTGTTACATTTTGATTTGAAACTTAAATCAACTGTAATTAATGGAACAAGGACATTTCAGTCTAAGAAAGTCATACAGCCTTCAGTACAGCTCTCAGATTCATTAAGACTCATACCTCCAGTTGTACTGGAGAAGCCTTTCCTCACATATCAGTGCTCTCCCATAGCTACATACACAAGTGAAATATCCAGAAGATGCAGCAAGAACCAAAGGAAGGGAAAGAATTTAAAAAGTGCCACCTAATTTCTGACCACATAGAAATAACAGGAATAAAGTTGCCCCCAAATAGTGTCTCCTCACTGCAGCCTCCCCATCACTCTCCAGAAAGAAGAATAAGTGACAAGAGACAGACCCCTCCTCGGCCTGCCCCAGGGACAGTTGACCAGAAGAAACCTCTCCAGTCTGGGTCCTCAAAGATGTAAGGCAGGATACGGGTGAGGAGTCGACAGCAGTTCAAGACAATTTGTCTTTCCTTCTCCGTGTGGCAGCCACTCTCTGCTCCCTGCACCAGCTTCTCCACAGCCTGAAGGAAACAAAACCAAGGAAGGCAGCATTAGCCTGGGCTCAAGTTAGCAAGAGCTAGGCAGGTCTGTCCTGCTGGCAATACCCTCACACAGACTTATAAGCAGATCTTGGGAGTCCATTTGCTCTCAGTTTAACAGCACAGTTGTTTGAAACTCTGTAAAAAACAGGGTTAATGATTTTAAACAGACCTTCTTGAATTTCTGCTGTTCCACTGCAAGAGACCTCAAATGCCAGGGCTAATCCATGCAGCACATGTGTGGTGCCACGTGAGGCAAACAGCCAAAGCACCAGAAGGCTCCTTCCAGCACTGCTCCATGACACCATGCACTGAAAAGGGCAGATGAGATTAATCAGCTGCAGCAAGTACATGAGATGCAGGCAGGAAGGACCAAGGCTGCAGCACTGTGCTGCATCGAGGGAGGCTCTGGCAGGGGATGATCACACAGAAACACACAGTCTGACAGTTCTGCCTGTGTGATTACAGCAGGAACCTCTCCTGACTCAAGAGGTGGCAGCTAAGCTGCTGCCTGTGTTATGTGTAGGGATACAGCCTCCAGCAGCATCTGTCAAGGTCCTGCTGCAGAAGAGGGTGGTAGCCCAGGTTTCCCCACTGCCCATGTGAACAGGACTGCTGCTCCAGAAAGAGCATCTGGGCTGAGACTCTGCACTCCATCCAGTGGCTGCTGCAACTGCCTGTGGAGGGTCACTGGGCTTCTCAGAATAGATGTGGGTCTCACCAGGCAGCAACTACAGGCACAGGAGGCAGTGACAGGAGGTTTTACCCACAGATAGAAAAAAGCAGTCTCTTCCCTCCACAGCTGCCCCCAGTTGCTCTTACTCCCCGATCCCAAGGGGAAACAGAGGGGAAATGAAAGCCAAAACATTTAACAAGGATTCACCTTGCTGCTTTTCAATTCATGAGGTCATGTGTCCCTGCTTATTTTCATGGCAGACTGCCTGGGTCACTGATTCTGCCAGCCTGCGTCACTGCATTAATGGGTATTTAAGTGCTGTTTGTCCCAGCCTGTCACACACTAACTGAGCTGAACGATTTCTTCGGGCACACTTATGATTGCACAGCCCGAATCTCCAACCATGACTGTAAATGACAGTTCTTCACAAACACACAGTATTGCTAAGTCCAGTGGCACACTGCACATGGCACAAGTCAGGGCTCTCAGACTGGCAAAAGCACTGCTGGAGTGGGCTCCTATGACACTGATATCCCAAAATCTACAGCCCACGCATAAACAGTCCTGCAGTGACAAGGCCTCCCAGCACACCTGTTTCCAGTAGGGAAAAGAGACCATATTTTAGTCTTGGTTTGGGAAGAAAGAAGACACAGAGTCGAAGGGGTTACAGATCTTCTAAGTCCTTCTCAACTCCCAAACAGCTCACTGCCAGAAGCCAATACCAGGGATGTTTTTTCCCAGTTTTTCTCATGTTCATATTTTTTCTCAAGTATCCTCTACATGCATCTGTCTACAATTCACAGTCAGAGGCACCTTCACTATGATTCAGTAAGTCTCATTCACATATTGTAGAGGAGGAAAGAAAAACAGGATGGCAGCAACTATTTAAAACTGGAAAAGTGCCATTCCAAATGTTTTCAACTACAAATTCAAGGCTAGTCTTGGCATGGCTCAAATCAGGAGCATTGTTAACACCTGCACTTTCCCAGGCAGAGTTAGTCTCAGGCTGTTGCTCACCAGCTTGACAATTTGTCAAACCTGGCAGGGTAGGAAATGCTGTTCAATGTCCTGTGCTCCAATACAAGGACATGGTAACACCAGAAGCAGCATCAGGAATGTTCTGTTATCACAGAATGAAGAAAATTCTTAAGATCTTCCTCAAACTTTATCTAGGTGTTTGCACAGTGACAGTCTGCACATCCCTCGGGATCTCTCAGCTTGAAGCCAGACTGGTGCATGGTGAGGCACAATTAGGTGCAGACAAGGAACGGGATGTTTCAGCCTCACTACAAGTATGCAGCCTTGCTACAAAGTCCCGTGAGCAAAAAGCAGTTTATAGAACAGGTAAGACCCAAGAGGACAGAGTGAAACACAGAAAGGGGACAGGAGGAAAAAGGCTCCAAATTGATCAAACACTAGCTATGGTCTGTGCTAACCTATGAGAGGAACGTTGAGGAACCCTCAGGAGGAGACAGGGACAAGCAAGCACATTGTGTGGTACAAGGCACCTGTTATCCCTTGGAAACCACAGTGCTGTTGTGCCAGGAACACCCCAGCTAGCACAGCCACAAGGAATAAAACAGCACCAAACTTACCTTGTAACACAAAGTTGCCAAATTTGAAGGTGATTCTTCTCTCACTGCTCGGATCTCTGCAGCTGGTACAAGAGCAAAGACATCCTGCACTGAAGTGGCTGTGTCTGCCCAGAACTGGTCCCAAAAGGCATTATCCGTGGCCTCCACAGGCTGTGGACAGACAAATGTTGTTATAGATGTGGAACTACCATTCCATATGATCCAATCATCAGCAATTATGCTTGGCTTGGGGATGGGATGAGGCAAGAAGAGGTTCAATAAAACATACTAGCACTGGTTTTATGTGTCAGCCTCTGTTTGGATGATTTATCTCCCAAATTGAACATTCCTTCAGACATACAGGAGGCTCCATGCCTGTCTACAACTGCTGCCAGTAATCCCAGATCTTCATCACTGCACATGGTTTGGATGATTTATCTCCCAAATTGAACATTCCTTCAGACATACAGGAGACTTCATGTCTGTCTACAACTGCTGCTAGTAATCCAGATCTTCATCACTGCACACTGGCCAGGCTGTCCTTGTGCACTCTGCCACCTTCAGAGCAAGTCAAGGAAGCCCTGAGCGTGCATTGGAATTACTTCTGTTGTAACCAAAATCTCAAGGAAGTAATCAGGGACAAGGAAGTAATCATTAGGGCACGAACAAACCCACAGAACTGACAGACCCACCTCAAAGCACTTACAGATAAAATGCAATTGATCTTTCTGAATCAAATATTTATAGAGAACTGGACTCAGTGCAGCCAGTCGCTGCCAAGGCTTTGTTCTTAAAAAGCACTAAGTGTGCCATTCAAAGAGGAGATGGAAGAAGGAGACCAAAGAAAATCCATTTCAAACCTGCGGTCTCAGAAGCTCATACCCCAACCCAGCCCTGGGAACACACCTCTTTCTACTACATTTTCTGCTTATACTTGCCAAGAGATAGGCACTGCCCAAACACAGCTGTGAGGCCTCATCCCACCCAGGGGTTCAGCTACAGGGGCAGGATAAATACATGCCTGTTTATGACAAGCAGTGTGAAAGAAATGGATCCAGAAGAGGAAAATGTGAGCTTTCCCAGGAGTTTCACCAGCCATGGTGTGGGCATGCTTGGCAGGTCAGAAGAGCTGCTCACCTGAGCACCCCCAGCTCTTGGCTTGGGGCAAGGAGGAGCCTCCTGTCTGCGACCAGCACCAGTTCCAAAGCAAACAGCAGTGCTCCCTAAGGGCAATAATCAGCACCATTGGGTGGGTCTTGCATGTCAGATATGAAAGGGGCAAAAATACGACTGTGTTTAATTCAAACAACTCCTGCCCACTCCCAGATCTGCTGCAGAAGGCAGAAAATGTGTCCAGCTCTGTGCTGTGTCTAAATGCAGCTGAGATGCCAGTTGGGGGAGAACAGGTCACTCACAACTGTGACACAGGGAAGTGCTGCATTGCCCTGTTTGCTGTCACCTCCTGAACTAACAGCCCCAGCCCATGGGCATGTGATGTGTCACCACCACCGCAGGCCAGCAAGTGAGAGGGGCCAGCTACGTCAGACTGGTACAGCAGGTTATTGCCCTGCAGCTCCTTGCCTTAATGCATCAGTGCTGCTGCTCCTAGTCCTTCCAGTCATGCAGTGAACCAGCCCAAGCGACCCTCCAGGCTTTAAAAACCAAACCAGAAAGAAACCCCTGTGCGTTCAGACATCTTATTAAACTCAGCCCTAGTGTTGAAAACCTAATTTTTTTCACCAAAGCAAGATCCCACCAAACCTCTTCCCAAGGGAAGAGCAACTTTTCCCAAAAGGTTCAAGATCACAGGTCCTCAGAGGGGATCTGTAGGAACAATCCAATCCAATACTCACAGCCTGACTTTCAGCTGAGCATGTGAAAGAACTGAGCTCTTTGTAACCTGGACATGAAGCACTTAAATGGAAGGAAAGCGATTTTGCACATCTCATCTCTAATAGTACTCCTCAAAAAGAGCCAAGTATTTAGAAATCTGATCTATGCACTGCATGAAATACCCTACAAATCCTACACCCCATTTCAAACCACACACCACAACCTCATGTAGAACTGCCACATGTACATCCTGGCTGCCTGCCACAGCCACTCCCACTGACAACAGAAAGCAGAAATTGCTGCTAATTGGGCATCATGAATAAATAATGCCTTCATTCTCATCCAGGGGGGGAGCAAAAACCATTGCCCTCCAGCAGACACTGATCCCTTTACCTCCCACTAGCCTGAGGCCTCCTCAGAGGTTGAACACAGCCGCTGTTTTACAGATGGCAGCCCAACAGGGACTGAGGAACTCTGACTGCAGTCCCTTGGAGCAGGGAAGCAGAGGGGCGATTCCCTGAGCTGCAATGTTGGATGTGCAGCAGCATTCATGTCTCTGCTGCCATCTTGGCAAACAGATTATGCTAAAACACTGGTACCTTGCATTTTTAATAGCTGCAGCAAGCCAGCCCTTCATCAACAGATGGTATCCCATGTACAATCCTGGGACATGGATTCAGTACTGAGTCACTCACATCCCCACTGTCCCCCTGTTTTACCAGCCTGGAATCATGAAGCTACTCAATCCACATGATATTCATCTCCTTGATAGAACATTACTGGCTGTTTTTAAGCTGATTGTTTTCTGCATGCAGCATCTCTGGGGATCTAAATACCCATTTCCTCAGCTGAGCTCACCAAACAGACTGTATCCAGCCTCACAGAGGAGAGGAATACAGAGACCTAGATCAGCCTTGTTCACCAGCCAGGGATATCTTCATTTGGAAATGTCAAGAATTAGGTACAAGTGTTGGTACAGCACATGCTGCAGTCACAAATCCCAGAGCACTCCTAGCCTTGACAGTGCTTCGGCCAGAGAGCTCACGAGGAGCTGAATCCTCAGCACAGGTAAGAAAGCCTAATGCTCCTCCAGCACAGTGCAGACAACCAGCTCTGCACCAGCAGAGTAATGAGAGTAAGAACTGAGGGATCAGTAGCTCGACTCACTCTGGAAACACAACTGGCACATCTGGAAAGCAAAGGATCTTCCTGACCCACACACATCTCGTGGCAGAAGCTGCTGAAGGTACAGAACTGACTGGCAGAGAGAGACTCTGATCCCCAAGCCCAGCTCCACACCACAAGGGTGAGGTAACTGCAGAGCAGAATGTTGCTGAGGACACAGTGGGCAGATCCAAGGTGATGTGACAGAGCGGGCAAGGAGGGACACTTTTGCCTTCAATTAAGACTTCCCACCTGCACGCTGGCCAAACAAAGGTAAAACCAGTCATTCTGGACACCTCCATTCTTTGTTTTCTGCTAGTTGTAAATGTTGTGTTTCAGGTTCTTTGAAGCACACCACACACATGCTGCAGAGGTTAGGAAAGGAGGACACTCAGTCTGCAAGAGCACTCCTAGCCTTGACAGTGCTTCGGCCAGAGAGCTCACGAGGAGCTGAATCCTCAGCACAGGTAAGAAAGCCTAATGCTCCTCCAGCACAGTGCAGACAACCAGCTCTGCACCAGCAGAGTAATGAGAGTAAGAACTGAGGGATCAGTAGCTCGACTCACTCTGGAAACACAACTGGCACATCTGGAAAGCAAAGGATCTTCCTGACCCACACACATCTCGTGGCAGAGGCTGCTGAAGGTACAGAACTGACTGGCAGAGAGAGACTCTGATCCCCAAGCCCAGCTCCACACCACAAGGGTGAGGTAACTGCAGAGCAGAATGTTGCTGAGGACACAGTGGGCAGATCCAAGGTGATGTGACAGAGCGGGCAAGGAGGGACACTTTTGCCTTCAATTAAGACTTCCCACCTGCACGCTGGCCAAACAAAGGTAAAACCAGTCATTCTGGACACCTCCATTCTTTGTTTTCTGCTAGTTGTAAATGTTGTGTTTCAGGTTCTTTGAAGCACACCACACACATGCTGCAGAAATTAGGAAAGGAAGACACTCGGTTTGCAAGCCTCATGCGAGTTACTGAGCAGAGAATCACAGCCTGAGCAGCAATCCCCAGACAAACAGGATACCTCACAGGAAACAGGAAAACAGAGAGGGCCTGACCATGTCCTAAAAACAGGAAAAGCTCCCAAGGCACAGTCTAGCCTATTTGTTACCGTCCTCAACCTGACAGCAGCACCACCTCTGCTTTCTCTTTCAGACACAGTTCCTCACAAACTCCAGCAGTGTGTGTGAGCGTTTGTACCTCCTCCCGACCAAGAGCTCTCTGCACTTACAGCTTAAATCAAATGTCCATTCCTAACAACTCCTCCAACAGGCCCCCACTGGAGGATGGTTCTAAAACTAATTCTAGGATTGCTGCAGATCATCAGCAGAGAACCAAGGGACAAGCAGACGCTAGCCTTGCTCAGTGTGTTCTCTTTTTGCTTCTTGCCAATTAAGCATCCCACCAACCATGGCAGCAACCCCTTGGAGCAGGGGCTCTCCTTGATCTGGGGCTCAGCAGCAGAGCAAGTCCCTCATCCCTGCCCCAGGTTTGCAGCTCAGGTGATCTGTTACAGCAGTTGCTCCTCTCCACCCCAAATGTGGCAGAACTGTGGTGTGTAATCCCCATTCACACAGCACCTGACTGAGCTTTAGATCAGGTAACCCTGCAGGGCCAGGGATTAGTTTGAGGCAATTCACAAATCTTTGTACCACTTGTTTGTGAGCTACTGTGCAAAAGGAAAAAGCCTGTGGACAGACTTATTCTAAATATAAATAACTAGTAAGATTTCATCCCTCCAGCCAAGGACAGCACCTCTACACAGGCTTCAGAACAATAATATTTTTTTTTTCTATAGGATCTTTGCAGTCAGCAGTGCAGAATCAATGAGACTTCAAGTCTACCACCAGTTCTCTGCTCTCACAGCAGAGACAGTGTTGCCAAGCAAACTGGAAAATGGGATTTGTAGAAGTCTGGCAGGGAAAGACCAGGACAGAAGTCAACTGTGTCAAGTGTTAGTTACAGCTTTGCTTTTAAGACAGCTTCACTTTTGATCAACCTGAGCCTCTTGGACAGCTGAGTGAAGCTTGAACACTGTAAGAAATGGTCTGCCAGGGACCAACCTTTCTCCAAGCACAAGATGTGCTTTCATCAGACTCAAGCTAACAGCCCATTGTATTCCTGGATTTCCACACCATGGAAAAGGAAAGGACTCGGGTTTGTCCCTCATGTTTGATTCTTCCTGTCTCTTTAAAAGCAGAGGCACAGCTCCCATTAAAATCTAACAAGCTGGTACACCAGATCAAAATTTCTTATCTTCTGGCTGGTTGCTGGCAGGAGCCCCAACTGATTGGGAAAAGAAAAGGTGGCTCCCCAGCAGTTAAAGCTCCCAGACCTGCAAGTGACCAGCCATGAGGAACTGTCACATCCACAATCCATGTTCCTTTCATCTGTTAAATAGGCAGCACTTTTATGGGCAGTCTGGGAGGGCTCACACATTTCTCTATTATGAAGCACATCTGTTTTATTATCAAAGGGATGGGCCCTACCAGTATAATGTGTGCAAATGCAATGTAATATATACATATCAAATAAAAAGCCTAAAGACCATTTCTCCATGTGTGACTATAAATATACATCTGTAGTGTAAGTTAATTTCTTCCTTCTGGTAATACTTCTGGTTTTAATCACTGAAATAATTCTGAAGTGATTTTTCTTTTTTAATACTCTTACACCTTTAGAGTTTCTCTTTGGCAGTTAAAAAATCAATTAAGTCAATTCCATTTGTGTCCAGACTTGGTTCCACGTTCAAGTTTTGGGCTCCACATGTGCTGTAAGCATTCAAGTGTTATGTTCCTTACAGATTTATTTAATTTTTTTTAAATGCTCAGATGGGAACATTCATTTTTTTAATTAAGAAAAGCCTGGAGATTATAAAAACTTATTTTTAAGAAAAAATTAACTTCTGTCCAAACCTTCACCAATGAGTGAACAGTGACTTTGGCTCAACTACTTCTTCCCAACAGAGCCTTAGGAAGACCTCACAGTGCATTCTGAGCTCAGAGTTCACGTTACAGATGATTTGATTAAAATCTCTTTGTCCAGCTCCCTAATTTCAGAGGAGAAGACTGCAAAACAGGAGACAGGTGCTGAGGAAGCAAAGCATGTTGCAAACCAATAGCTTGGAAGGATTTGGCTCTGTCCATTACTGCAGGCTGGTTTTGGATCCAGGATCTCACAGACCAGGAGGTTTTGCTGCTGGTAAGGGATCAGAAGGCTCCAGGAGAGCCCAGTCATGCGTTCTGCACGAGCAAACACTGGTGCCCTTCTACAGAATGTCAATATGGGAGCGCCAACACCCCACCCTTTTCCACATGCACTCACTCTCGCCTAGATCACAGAGACGTGAAATGAATCCAGCCAAGAAGAAAGCTTTTACTCTTTCCTTTTTATTCGGGGCCCCAGTGAACCTTCTTCCCTTACACTGGTCGATAAACCAGGGGAGGGGAGCGCTCTCGCCTGGGCTGGTGATCCAAGGGATTGCCTCACAGCATTTTCTTTGTGAACAGCAGACTGGGCAGAGCCCTGCAGGCCTGATTTACCGCCCTCCAATCTCACTTTACAAGCACATTTCCCCACGAAGGAAGGACAGCCCAAAGCTGAGGATACTCTGAACTATCTGGCATGCAGAAGAGACTTTGGAAGAACCCCTTAAAACATTAATTCCCCCACTTCTCTCTTTACCTACATTCACAACTAGTGGTTTTTAAGAATATATTCAAAAAATCATTCTTTAGAAATGCAAATAAATGTGATACTGCTTTAGAAAGTAAAAACATGTTTTTTCCAGTCTCTTCCATAGCCTTATCCATCTATAATTCAATTCCCAGCAGTAGCCTCTGTCTCTTGAGTTTTCACAGTTTTCTCCTACCAGCCTTTACCTCTTTGCATCCATACCTTTTCATGTGAAAAGGTATTACCTACACTAACTACCTTTCTTCCATGACCCCCATGTTTTCTTACCAGCTGTTATTGCCTTACTTTTAAAGGTGGATCATAACAGCTGCTCTCCATTCTAGTTTAGAAGAACATGAGACGTGACTTCTCAATACAGCAAAATCCCTCTGCTCCTTAGACTGAAGGACAGGCTACTAATTTTCTGCCAGCGTGCTGCTGCTGCTGGGCACTCCACTTCAAACAAAAATTAAGCAAGCTCCCAGGACAGGCACAACATATGTTAGACCTAGACAGCGACCCTCCCTTCACACAGCCCTCACTTTCACTTAACTCCTTCTCCACCTCAGCCTGCAGAAATAAAGCATCAATTCACAAGTCAGAGATGGAAACCTCTGCTGCCAACAGCACAGCTGCCCAGCAGCCCCTTCCATCAGCTATTACCTAAAAACAGGGCACGGTTCTCCACCCATTATGCGCGGGGGTGGGAGAAAGGATACAGAAAAGGGAGCAGCGGCAAACCGTGTGATGTAAACCCGCCAGCGGAATACATCAGAAGCTGTGGACATCCCTTACGACAGCAGCGTCTGCTCTGTTAGCACAAGACGCTGCTCAGCAAGGCACAAGATGTCACCAGAGGCGGTGACAGGCCCGGACACGGCTGGCAGCTGCCGCGGGGTCCGGCCGGTGCTCCTCTCCAGACGGGTGACACGGCGATGGGCGCAGCCGGCCTCGAGCCCCATCGCACGGCCTGGCTGGCAGAGCCTGGCAGGGCCGGCCGTGGCTGCAGCCCGGCGCCGCGGGTCCCCAGCAGCCCCGGCCCCACAGGCAGGGCCCGCCCGGGGACCGCGCTCAGGAGCGGCGGCGGTGCGTCGGGCAGGGCCGGCTGTGGGGGCTCCTCAGGGCGGAGGTTCCCGAGATGGCGCGGCTCCCCTGGCCCCCCGCCCGAGATGGCGGCCCTCACCTGGGTCTTGGTGGTGAGCTGGATCACCGCCTTCCTGAAGTTGAGCTTGGAGTCGGCGCTGCCCATGGTGCGGGCAGGGCCGGGCAGGGCTGTCCCCTCACGCCGCCGCTGACGCCATCCCCGGCCCCGCGCCGGCGGCTCCCGCTGCCGGCCTCCCTCCTCCTGTCAAACCGGGGCTCGCCGATCCCTCCCTGCCTCCGCCCGAGGCTCCTCCTCCGCCGGCTCTCCATCCCTACATCCCGCCCCGCCGCCTCCCCCGTTTTCCCACCTCCGCCTGTCATCCATCCGCCGCTTCACCCTTTCGTTCTCGCCCTCCCTGTCGCAGCCCCTTCCCTCCCGCACTGTGCTCCCCACAGAGCCTGCCTCATCTCCACTCACGGCTTTTCTCTTTTCTCCTTCCTTCGCTGTCCCCTCCTGCCTAGGCTCCCTCTGCCTTCTCTGCCCTGCGCTTTCCTTTGCAGCCCTTTTCTCCTGCCCCATCCTTTGCCTTATCCCTGCATCAAGTTCCTCTGCTCTCATGTCACCGCTTTTCCCCTTTTCTTGCCCCTTCTCCCGCTCTGCCCGCAGCCTTTGTCCCCTGAAGCTCCTGTCAGGGCATCTCCGGCCACTCTCGGAGCCTGGTGCCAAGCCCAGATGGTGCAGAGGTACAAGCAGCAATCCCCTAGCCCTGGGCTGAAAGGAGCCAGGAACAGGCACGCTCCTAACCCAGACCCTGTTCCAGCACCTTATGAGGAGCTCATTGCATGCACTGGCCCATTAACCCTAATGAAATTCCACCCACACACGAGGAGAGGATGTTTTATAACCCTGGGTGCTGGGAATTCAGGATTTGGCACTCACTGAGCACCTCAAAGCAGATGTTTGAGGGCATTCTGTGCTGCCTTTGAAGCCATCATCGCGGTTTTCTGCTCTGAGCAGCTCTGGGAACTGCAAGCAGGTCTTTTTGGTGTCCCTAAGTTATATTTCACATGCTCAACTCTACAAACCTTTCTTCAGAAAAAAAAGTGAGGTAATTCCAATCGTTCTGCAAAAGAAAGCAGTGTGCTGACTCTCCAGCTGGGGCAGACTGTGGGAATTCTCTTTTTTTGGCATATAACCTGTACAGGAGTGTGTTTGACTCGATTGAGTGACATATCAGATCTGAGATATTCTGGTAAAACCTACAGGAAAAAATATTTTCACAAAATCATGTAATCTGGCTTTTGCTGCCAAACAGCCAGGGACTTTGCATCAAAATACTCAATATGGCCACAATATACAGATAAATGGTAAGAATTTATTATGAGAGATGTTATAAGAATTCTGTTACAAACAGAATACTTTTCAAAAGCAATTATTTCTCACAAATAATAGAACTCTAGTCCAACTGCCTGACCACTTCAGGTCTGACCAAAAGTTGAAGTATGTCATTAAGGGCATTATCCACATGACTCTTCAATAGGCACAAGAAAGTTAAGATTTTCCCATTTCTGTATTAAAATTGCTTAGAAAAAAGTCTAATACCTAGAAATGGTTTTCTCTCAGATACACCACAAGTGCTTGACTATGTTTGCTGAGTTATAAATGCCAAGTTGAAGAGACTCCTTGATCCCGGTCTGTGACTGTATTAAAGCAGATGACTTTCCAAACAGCCACTGAATTTTCAGAATGTGTGTATGTGATGGAGAGCTCTATGAGGAGAAAAGGAGAGAGGAATAGTCTATAATTCCTCCCTTATTCCCATCTTTATCCCCCTCCTCTGCTGTGGTACACAAGAGCTGAGTACTAGCCCTTGCTTTAATCACCCAGGGGCACCCAGCTGCCTGTCACTGCTGGATTGGATAGAGTTTTCTGACACAAATCCCATCTTTTCTGGATGCACAGTCTGCTGCTCTTGCGTAGACACTTTATATTGCCTGCTTTTTCTGTAGGCACCATTGCAAGGTAATGCCATCAAATTTAAATCTGTGGAGTTCCATCACTCAGAAGGAAAAAAAAAACAAAAACACACAAAAAAACCCTCAACAACAAAAACAAAACTATCTAAATTATCTAAACACACTGACACACTGTTACTGTCACAGAAGTTGATTTGGATCTTAGAATCTCTGATAGATTCCAGGGCTGACAAGCACAAATAAATTCCCTTATGCCAAACTCCAGCTAAGAGAATGACCACATCTCTAACCCTTATTCCATTAAGGTGGCAAAATCCAAGACATTTTCTGAATTTACTTATATGTAACAGACACATTCCTCCTCAGAACTTTATAAATCCTGATTTCCCTGAGTTTTAAGTTCATTCCATCCTTCACAAACATAAGAAAAATGAAAGAGGAACCTGCATCAAAGGCACTGATTTCCTATCAGAGCGCAAAATAACAGGTTTGGAGGAAGACGCCACGCTGAGGAAATGCTGTGGGGCTGATTGTGTGGCGTGCCCCTTCTGCAGCCCCAGCTAAGCGGGGATGGATGATCCTCTTGAGGAACAAACCCAGCCAGGCAGAGAAGGCGCTGAAAGCCCCGTGGCTGCCCCGAGTCCCCGCGAAACCCACGGCGAGGCAGGGACACGGCATTCCAGCCGCAGGACAGAGCAGGGGGCTGCGGGACAGCTGGCAGGGCACCCCAGCCCGGCACCCCGCTCCCCGCAGCCCCGCTGTCCGCGGCACGGCTGGGCGGAGAGGAGGAGGAGGAGGAGGCGGAGAAGAAGGAGGCGAAGGAGGACGGTCTCGCCTCGCCTCCCCCTTCCCTCTCGCCGGTTTTCTTTGCAGCATTTCCATGCTAGAGGTCCCCACCGAGCTGCGGAGCGAGGATCTGCCTGGCTGCGCCGGGCCCTCTTCCTTCCTTTGTGCATCCCCCAGCCCTGTGCAAGCCGTGCCCCCCGCCCCGGCCGCCACGTCCCCGCTGCATCCCCTCCTCCGGAGCCCCCCCGGCCCTGCAGGCAGGAGGAAGCCGCCCCCCCGGGCCCGCAGAGCCGGGGCAGCGGCCAGGCACCGGCTGCCACGTCGTGCCACCTCCTCCTTCCCGGCCCGGTCGGGGCACCGAGGCCGCATCCCCGCCCGCATCCCCGCCCGCATCCCCGCATCCATCCCCGCATCCATCCCCGCATCCATCCCCGCATCCATCCCGCTCCGCGCTCCGGAGGCGCCGGGCCCCCCTTCGGCGGATGCTGCGCGTCTCCCCGGGCCGCTGGTGCTAAATGCTGAGCGCCGACAGGATGGAGGAGTTTCAGAGCGAGGAAGAGGAGCCCTGGTACGACCAGCAGGACCTGGAGCAGGGTAAGGATGGGGGCACGCCGCGAGCTGCCAGAGATGGTGGGCCAGGGGATGCGCGGGCAAGAAAACGGGCAAACCCCGGGGACGGGAGGGTGGGATACCTTCCCTCTGTTCTGCTGTTTGCTTGGCAAAGCCAGCACCACATCCTGCAGCGGCAAATCCCGGCTGCTCCAAACCGCCGTCCTGGCCGAGGAAAGTTTAAAGCCCATGGATAGAGGCAGGGAGCCCAGAGCTGTCCTAAGCACTAGGGCAGTGCATAATTTATTGTGTTACATCTTCAAGGAAGCTGGTTCCCAAAAAAACTTGCTGCAGGCAGAATCAAACGGGGGTAGTTGTGACACTGCTTTTATTTCAGAGTAGTCCAAGCTAGAGTTGCCAGGCACATTAGTTAGAAATTAATATATGGGAAATAATGTATTGCTAAGGATACTGAAAGTCTGTCTCAAAAGCTTTGCTGTCCAAGCCCAAATCCAAAGGGATCTTCATCTTCTTAGTCACCTAATTACTTCTGGACATTTTTCCAATCAGACATAATATCAGGAGAAATATGGGAGGAAAAAAAAAAATCAAGGCCAAGTTTTGAACAGCAAAAGAAGCCTTGTTAGAAGATAATTGGTCAATTCTGTAGTTTGCTTTGAAGTAACTGTACCTAGCTCAATAGAATGTTTATTCTAAGACTGGACAGTTGGTGCCTGTGAGTATTTGGGTTTGGTTTTTATTTTTTTATTTTTCTTATCTTAATATTTTGAGTCAACATGCAGTAAGTAAATAACTGGGAGAAGTCCCATTTCAGGCCAGTGGCCCAGGAATGAGCGGGACTGATCTGGCAATGCAGAGCAAAAAATCATTCCTACCTGAACACAGTTCCCCTCCTCTGGCACATTGTGCTATAGGTACAGTTTTATATTTGTTTTTTCCAGCTGACTGTCAGCAGGGATGTGCAGTCCAGCTGCAGTGCCTCAGCCCACCATCGCTCCAGTACATTATGTCATGATTTGAAGTTTATACAACTTCACTGCAGGCCAGGGGCCCAGCAAGGAATGATAACCAGCCCCCCAGGCATTGTCACAGCTGGGCTTTAACCCCAATTTCTCAATTAACAGGAAGTAGTGGGACACTGGGCCCTGTTCTTTGAAACACAACACTCCAACAAAGCCAAGAGCATGGAGATGAAGCTGTCAGCTGGATAAACAGAGCAGCCTTTGAATGCTCAGAAATTCACATTTCTGGGTGACGTCTTTCCATGGCTCACAAGGGGCCTGGGCACTGCTCCAGGGGTGGGATGTAGGCAGAGGAACAGCAGAACTAGGGATGAACAGAGCGACTGTTGAACAACATGGGACCAATTGATTTTTAGCCTAATGTTGTCCCTGGTGTCAGGTTCATGAGTCAGCACTGGCACTGTACAACTGGCCCACAACAATAAGAGCACCTTCCCACTACAGGCCAGGTTCCCAGCTCTGTCCCAGCAGCCCAAAAACAGAATGACTGTCTCCAGATGATGGATTGAGGCTGGATACAGGCTGCACTTTTGAGCACATACAGAACTGGAGGGAAACACACACCCAAAACAAAGCCCAGCTTTGGGTTTGCAGCCTCCTGTATATGAATAGGGGCTGCACAGGCTTGCACAAACTCAAGGAGAGATGCGGGAAGGCTTTAACTGGAATCAGCCAAATGGAAAGGTCCTACGGGGTAATTAAAACCGTAATTAATTTGCACGGTACACAAGCATCACAAAGGACAGTGCTAGACTTTGTCCACATGCCCTGTGCCTCTGCATGACACACAGAGGTCTTTGGTGGCGGCACAGCCATGGAGCCCTTGGTTTGGGAATGGGGGGTGGGAGCACAGCACAAGGCATCCAGCGTGGCACAATTAGAGGCATTACTAAGAGGATTGGCATGCCAGGAGCCCAGGGTCGCACAGAAACCCACGCCTGGC